CACTTACTTCTTCGCTAGGCTGACTTGCAGAGATTGCCTGCTCCATTTCGTGGAAGTCGAAGGGCCGTTCGTTGAGCGTGAGGACCCGAGGTGGCGTCCTGAGGGACAGTGTTGACTCCAACGGGGTGGACTGGATGATGTCCAAGTCTCTGGGATATTGCATGTCATCACTGTCTCCTACATAGGAAGATGAGTGACCGATCAGATATTCGTCCACTCTAAAAATTGCTGTGTGGATAATTCATGTGAAACAAACTACCTAAAAGAGAAATTCACCCTCATTTCGTGCCAAATCTGTAAGACAGCGAAACACAAAAGAAGATATTTTGTGCTTTCCATCTCGTACCTGCCACTATGATTCTCTCGGGAACGTGCATCATTGCCGTGTGGTGCGTGTCCCGCTCTGGGAGTTCCTGCTCTTCCGAGCTAAACGGAGCCACTTTGAGCTGCTCAGGAATGCGCATTCTCTGACTGATGCCCTCCGTGTATTCCAGCTCATAGTGGATCCGGTTCATCTCCGCCATCTCGGCTGTGGGAGAGGGGAACGCCGCTCCACTCATCTACAGGGAGAGAGGAGGATGGGTGTACAGAGAAAACACCAGGTCAGCTGTGATGACATGCAGTAAGGAAATTACACAGCATGTCAATTACAGAGTCAAACAAGATTCCAAAGGAATGTGAACAGAATTCCTATTGGAATCGTGTAAGAATAAAAAATGATCTTACTGGGAGGTATACATACATTTTTTTTTTGTAAATATAAATAAATAAAACAAAGATTGCTGGAACAATTGGTTATCGGCAAAAGTCTATACCAATAGTTTTTGGATTTATATGCAATGGTAACACTTTACAATAAGAGTCCATTTGTAACGTTAACTACGGTTAATAAAAGTATTGTTTATTGTTCATTTTAACATTTACTAAAACATTATTACATTTTAAAGATGTATCTCTTAACATTAGTGAATGCAATATGAATTAACATGAACGACCAAGGTATAATTAATATGTATCTTTAAAAAATTACAGTACATTTTCATGGTTCAGTAGTGTTTTTACATGTTTGTATTAAAGTTCAGCACTATTTTGTGTCTTATCTTTGTTTTCATTTAATATCCATTTTAAAAACGATTGGTTGATTAATCGGTTATCGAACAGTGTGGTCCAACCCATTTATCATCATGGGTAAAATCCATTATCAGTCGATCTCTAATATTGTCTTCTTTTGATTATTTCTTGTACTGCGCTGAATGTTTTGATTCTAATCTGAAACATTAGAAGCTTTAAAATCCTGAAAGAGGTCCTTTCTTCATTCCTCTTGCTGTCTTACAGGAGCATTTTATCCTATAGTATAGATCAAAGTTATTTTTATTCCTTTAGAATTATTCTTATACTATTATAGTGTTTATTAATATGAGCTTGTATTTTTAGCTTTCATTTTAATTGTAGTTTAAGTTTTATTTAATGTTGTCATTTTTTTTATTTTTGTTTTATTTTTCTATTAGGTTTTAATTTATTTTTATTGCAGTTTTTGTTAGTTAGTTAGTTGCCAAAGCAACATGTCTTAGGTTTAAGTTTTTCATTTATTATTTATTTTATTTAAATTACCAAAAACAATAAATAGTTTAATAGTTTAATGATAACAACACTGGCTCTAAATGACCAAAACCGGAATCACAGGTTGTCCAACCTGGTCTCTGTGACCTTTACCTCTAATACAAAGCGAGCTCATAAGACTGCAAGTTTACTTATAATCCTACTAACTATATTATTTACACTTATGTAATACAGATAAATAACTAATCCAGCCACTATCATCCCCAGACCCTCAGGCTAAACTGAAGCACAGAAAGTAAAGCAGCTGTCATCATCAGTGTGTTGTGGTTTGATCAATGATCATGAGACCAACTATTTCAGGAAGAGAAATGCCAATGAACACCACAGGCACCTCCACCGTTTAGTCTCTTAGTAAGCATACCTACTGAATGAATTGAATTAGATTATGTTTCAGAAAATTATCCCAACAAAAATACAAAAATAAAGTCAATATGGACGCTTTTGGTTTCATTTCATTTGAGAGCAGCCGTAAGGTTACTACAGTAAAAACACCTGCTGTAATATTTTGTTTTGAATGTTTGGGTGGATCCGATCAAACCAAACAGAAAATACATAATAACAAGGTCAAATACTTTATAGTGTCACATTTGGGCCAAGATTAAAAAAACTGTCAGTGAAATCAATAAATGATGAGTACATCAGGGCCCTAAAGTAACGTTACATCAATGACAGCTGATAAAGGGCAAAAGCATAATCAGAAATCACATCACAACTCATTTAGACTCATACCTTCACCGAGATCAGATCCACCGACGGATTAGACACGTTAAAGTGGAATGCTATCGTAAAATCAGCTTATTCTGAGGGTTTTTAGAAAAAGGGAATCATCCCGCACTAGTACAGCACAGACCAGCTCAGCCCAGACCAGACCAGACCCGCACCGCCGCTGCGTGAAGCGGAACTGAGGAGAGAGCTTCAGACGAGCCTTTCAAATTAAGAGTCTCTCTGTTGAGACTTCATTTAAAAGTCACGGGCTTTTGCTCATCTTCGGGGGAAACTGTTCATTGTCTTAGTCTGTCATTTAACTTTTAAATAACATTATATTTGTATTATATTAGAAACTACTACACACTAAATTCTGTTAACATTTAGCCTACGTAGAATAATAAAACCTAATTTGTATTCTGTTATTACAAATGCGGTAACACTTTACAATAATAGTAGGCTACATGAATAATCATGTACTAATACCTGAATTAATAATTACTTTACTATGAACTAATGATGAGTTAAGACATGTTGGCTACTAATGAGGAACTAACCTTAACTACGACATGAGTCATATGAATTCCTGCATGAATATACCATCTTAACTACACGTTAGTAGGCCTACATGCTTGTTAATTAATGCATTAATTAACATTTCGGGGTAAACTAAATCAAACATGTTCCAGATCAGAAGAAAGATGTAGCTACTAAAAGATCACAATGTAAAATTGTTCATAAATTTGACACCAGCAACTGTCACAAACATCATGACACTAGATGTCTTGTAATGTTTACATTTAACCTTACTCATTGAACACACAAGGATGCATTCATCATTAAAAACAATTTAATCTCATTCTGTTTTAAGTGATTCCACTGCTGCCATCAAGAGTGAAATACCTACACTAATATATCCATTAAACAGATGCAATTTTCTAAATTAAAATCAGTGTTAGCACAGATGATGGTTATTTATGTGGTTATTTTATGGATTGGTTTACTGTCTTTATATCATAATGCAGTCGGATGTTAGTCAGTTAGGGTTCTTGCTCTTCTTTTGGGCCACGAAATGTGTCCATTTTCTAAAGCAAGTTTGATTTAGGTTACCCCGAAATGTTAGTTAATGCATTAATTAACAAGCACTAACGTGTGGTATATTCATGCAGGAATTCATATGACTCATGTCGTAGTTAAGGTTAGTTCCTCATTAGTACATGTCTTAACTCATCATTAGTTCATAGTAAAGTAATTATTAATTCAGGTATTAGTACATGATTATTCATGTACTATTATTGTAAAGTGTTACCACAAATGCTAAATTGTCATTAATGTAAATCATTAGTATAGGCAAATTAATTAGGCCTACTGTAATTGAATAAGGGATAAAAGAATAGGTAAGGGATTACTCTGATTTATTTTTAATAATTTAATTAAAGTTAGCCTATTCTGATGTAATTACATTTATAGTAAATAGGCTACTAGACCAATTTTATATTAAACAATAGTGGATTTAACATAAAAAGTTAACGTCTAATGATAAAATGTATGTTTTTAATGTAACCTTTGCCCTTTAAATATTTTGGTCAGTTCAAGAATAATTTATGCAATTTTATTATATTTATTTGAAAGAAGAAAAGAGCAGTTTCATGCCTATCCTTGAACTGTTCAACTGGTCGAGGGATTTGGAAATAGTAATAAGCAGTGCTGGGGATACAAGTTACATTACAAGTATATTACAAGTAACGCAAGTTACGTAATCAGATTACTTTTTTCAAGTAAAGTAACGTAAAGTAAAGTAACGCATTTATTTTAAAAATTACAACAAAATATCTGAGTAACTTTGTTTTCCCATTGACTGACAGCTCTCCTGTCCCCATATTGAGAGAAATCGTAAGTGCAGAGGCGTTGTGTGTGCTGTGAACATGATGGTTATTAGACTAAATATGAGCATTTACTCATCACACTTCCCCAAAAACAGATTCAGTATTCACCTAAATCAATAAAACGTGAAATGCAAACTCAATTCTGTTGAATATATTACACAACTCTGCAATAATTAAATAGCATATAAAATAGCCTACTTTATGTATTTCTCACTTTATTAACCAATGTCTTTGCTTTTGACCTTGAGCATAGCTACTAAGCAAAAAAGATATAGGCATCACATTTAATTTTTTGTGCTAAAATAAGATTGTGGTACTTTCTTCTCCTGCGTCCTATTCTTCTGCAATCCTGCAGAAAGCTTATTTATTTCACTTTTGGTGCGAAAGAGCCTTTACATTTAAAAAAAAAGAAAAAAAAAGTTTATTATTAAAAATCAAACCAGCAACCCCAAGGTGTTTAAGGAGCATTAGGCCTACTTTTAACTTTCCCCAACACTAAATAAGTAGGCTACTTTTTAGAGAGAATTAGTAGCCTACATTAGGCTAATCTAATTTTTAAAGATGTAGCCTAATTATAGTAACCAACTATAACCTAATTAATTATCCAAGTTTTTTAGAGTAGCCTAGGCTAACTTAGGCTATACACATATCACACTGAACTTGAGAAACAACCGCTAAATATTTTGAGCGGTGTTTCCATCGTGGCCCCTAACGGTTGAATGTGTGTGTGTGTGTGTGTGTGTGTGTGTGTGTGTGTGTGTGTGTGTGTGTGTGTGTGTGTGTGGTGGGAAGAGCGCTGAGCGATTGTCCAGTCTGTCTCAGTGTGCTCCCGGTTGAGGATACAAGCTCCAGGACTAGGATGCTCGATTATTTCAGTTTGCGAGGAGAAAACGTTTAGCGCTTTCACAAAAATATACAGCCCTAACCTACTCGTGTATAATGAAGTGATCGGACCCTTTAAGGTGGACGGCGGGGCCCTGGATCCTGAAGAGTGTCTGCTGCATGTGGATATGCTGTAGTAAACGATGTGCTGCTCCGTGGCTCTGCTCTGCTGTGTCTGTGTGCTCGTGTCTCTGAACGGCGCAGCATCACTGGACCTGCAGCCCGACATGTGAGTCATCTTATATTGTTCAACATAGCCTACTCTATTATACTTTTTACATCAAGTTTTGTTTTTGAATTCGCATATGAAGACGGAAAATTCTTATCTAAAACTTAACCAAAACATATAGGCTTATAAACAAACATGTGTTTTGTCCCAGGCTATTCAAAGAAAACATTTGTCTTAAACATTAGGCTACCATTAAACTTTAATAACATTAATAAGAATAACAAACATTACATTTTACCTATAATGTAGGCCTACATTCATATAATAAAACAGTCTTGACATTTAAATTAATAGGCTATATGTTCATTTTCATTGCCTAGAATATGCATGGACTTCAAAATACTTCAAAACTTCTAAAAATAGTCTATATTTTGTGATTTAAGTATAAAGTGCTACTTGAATGCTAGGCCCATGGCTCAACAGGTAAATGTGTCACGTCACCTGTGTTTTTAAGAAAATGTAATTGAATCGATTTAAAGCATTTCGCTTATGAAAAGTTTCAGTGTCGTGATCTATTCTTGTCGCTTAGGTGTAACATTGGTAATGCCTTAAATTACTATTAACAATACTAATAATTAATCCGTTTGGTTTCTTACCGTAAGCTATTTGTTTTGGTACCAATAGCTCAATAATGTGGAACGTGACACTGATAATTAATGTGTTATTTTTTGATGCCCTTTAGGTGTCGCCAAAAGCGCCAGATTCCATTTAAAATGTGAAATTATAGCCAAACATAAATGATCACTAAATTATTTAATTTATTCTGTAAAGACTTATTCTGTAAAGACCGTATTTTAAATGTATACATTCACCTAAACAACTTGCTTTGAAACAGTTACAAATAGACTTGACTCAAATTTGAAATGTGGAAATATGTAAAGCGTGACTGAGGCCAGTGAGTGTTTGACACACTGACTCCAGGGCTGATCCGGCGTGTGACTGTGCAGTTTATCTGAGAGCCCCATAATTGACTCAGGATGTGCCCAGATGGTCATAGGAAACGACCTGAGAGAGAACATGACCCAGAGCCCAGACTCACCACACTCGCTCAACTAAAATAAAAGACTGTCACAGACGGATTCAAACAAATCAACTGTCCTGATGTATTTATGAAGTTGAAATGCATTCTCAGCGATATTCCATATTCAGAGCTGTGGGTGAGGTGCTCTAACCTTTGGACAACAGTGAGAAAGACATTAATCAACTAACAGATTCTGACAGATATGAGTGTATTGAGAAGTGAATGAAAGCTGAGTTTGTATGTTCTTAGCTGTAGTTTAGTGCCACAATTATCCCTAAAAAAGGGTCTAAATCTGAGAAATCCTCCCCCTGGAAATATTTAGGTGCACTCAATTGAAAAATCTGTTCATAAATAAAAGTATACTTTTTTATTCTACAAATTAGAGAAAATAACTCAGCAGGTTTATTTTTGGTATTATAGCTTTTATTTTTATAATTTCAGTTTTCATTTTAATTTTAGTAATTTTGTTATGTATTTTTTTTATATTTATATTTTAATTTAATTTATTTTTATTTTAGTTATTTTAGTACTCCAAGGCAACAATTTCTATAAAAAAAGTTTAAATTTCTACAGTATTTATTGATTTTTATTTATTGGTTTTAATTTATTTAGTTTTAGTTGGTTAGGCTATTTCAACTTAAACTAAAGGACAGTGAGAAATGTTGCCTTGGTGAACATCATGCTGAAATAAAATAAGTTTTTTCATATAGCCTATTTTATTTTATTTCAGTTAAAATTGATTTTTAATTCAAGTAATGTTTTTTTTTTTATGGTTTTAGTTTTGGTTAACGATAATAACCCTGAAGAGCAGCTTTATGTAAAAACAACAGAAGTTGTGGTATGTATGCCCTCATCTCAGTATTTAACTGTAAACGTGTGTGTTGGTGCAACTGATCATTTGGATCTGTGGTTCAGCATGTTCTTAGAGAATTAAACTTTACAAGTTGTGAAAACATTTTGTCAACATCCTAAAATGAGCTGTTTCTGCAGCCACAAGATCTATAATAGCAAGATCATTGGATCTATTTCTTTAATGGATCATAGTGTCATCATTAACAGAGCTTAATTATATCATTTATAGATTTTTGTACAGCCTTGTGTTGTGATCAAATAATACATTTATAAATTATAAGAACAAGCCACATTTTCTTTTGTTTAATGCAATTAACCCCCCCCAAAATATACAGTGTTTTTTTTATAGACAAAACTATAACATGTTGTCCCCAGTCCTGAATATGTGGTTATCCCAGTATTTAGTGAGGAACACTTGCATATTGGTATCCGTATGTCTGTTTACTGCAGCTGACAGCTGGTGCACACATGCTAACCCACATATATGTTCTTCTGTGAGCATTTATGACAAAATTGCTAATTATGACATCACTAAAAGAGGAGCTGATGTTAAAAGTCTAAAATGTGGCTCATAAGTGCCCCCTATATGCAATTGATTTACTCTAAAGGAATAGTTCAACCAAAAATGAAAATGATGTCATCATTTACGCCTCATGTCGTTGAAGACTTTCGTTATTTTTAATGAAATCTGAGAAATTTCTATCCCTCCAATGACAGTCCACGCAACTACCACTTTGGTGCTTCAAAAAGTTCATAAAGAGATCGTAAAAACGAATCCATATGTATTAAGCGGTTTAGTCCAAACTTTCTGAAGGGACTCGATCACTTTATATGCTGAACAGATTTAGGCAATTATTCACATATAAACATCAACGCACACATGTCATCTTTCAGGCTGTGTCGTGTCTTTTTTTTAGTGAGGAGTCCGATCTTCACTAGGTTCCAGTCCCTGTATCCCTCAAAGTCATCCCAGCCAAGTTTAATGATTGAATAAAAATTATTTTTGACAATAACATTGTTTGTATTGTCTTTTGATTTGCAATGTTATTTTGAAGTACAGTAGCATTGTAATATTACCTATAGATTTATAAAGGCTACTGTAAGAACTACATATTATAGAATAGAATAGAATAGAATAGAGCTTTATTGTCATTGTAATGAGATTACAAAAAGACACCATGCAAACAACAAATATTAGAAAACAATAACTACACAGGGTTAACATGAAATGGGATGAAAAAGTCTAGTGTTTGTGGACATTGATGGGTAGCAGAAGTTCTAATTATAAATAAAACTATATTATAATTATATTATCATTAATAGTAAATATTATGAAAATTAAAGTTATATTTAGCAGTAATGTACCAATATAGATATTACAGTACAACATCGTATAATAAATAACAGAAGCAGACCCATTTACAAAATAAAATAAAAGTTTACAGTGCTAAATTGAATTACAGTACAATTGCTGTAAATCAAAATACAGTAACTTGCTGGCAACCATGCTGCCAGTAATGTACTAAAAATACAAGAAAATAGTTAACAATGAGTTCATTCTCGTGCGTTACGCAGCACGTTTCAACTTCAGCAAGAACCAATGAGGTTCATTCTCGTGTTACGCAGCAAGTTTGAGCTTCAGCAAGAACCAATGAGGTTCATTCTCGTGTTACGCAGCACGTTTCAACTTCAGCAAGAACCAATGAGGTTCATTCTCGTGTTACGCAGCAAGTTTGAGCTTCAGCAAGAACCAATGAGGTTCATTCTCGTGTTACGCATCACGTAAACACTGAGGTTCATTTATAGGGTTTAAAAGTATAAAAGTATAAATATGTATTGAAGTATAGTTGATAAACTTTTTCACTGTTTCTCAGGCCGAATGTGTGTGAGGAGCAGGAGATGTCTATGCTGGGAGTGAGGCAACCGTGTGTTCAGGCGTTTACCCGTATGGTGAAGGTGTGGCGGCAGGGCTGTTCTTCTCAGCACTGGTGTATGGGCTACGAGAGGAGGTGAGACACACTCGAACAAAAACTATTTACACAATTTCCATGTTTAAACATCTCTCAGTCATTATCCTTTAAATCATTTCCTCTTATTACTATTTCCCCAAACAATAATCTCTTAAGTCAGAGCAGTGAGTTTTATTTAAGAGATTTGCTTTCCTACCATTTAGTACCAAATTTGCCAATTACCATAGCAGATGCTTTCCATTGACTTAAGTACACTGATTTGAAAGCTCTTCTGGAAATCTGGGGTTAAGTGATTTGCACATGGTGATTTAATACGAGTCATAATAACCGACTATTGCTCCTCTGAAAGCAGACCTAAACTTTTCACACTCTTCGTCAACATATGTTCTTATTAACCATAAGACTTCAATCTGGCATGCTGAATACGGACCTGCTGATCAATTTAACCAAGAAAATTGGGCAAAACACAGTAACTTCGACAGTAACTCTGAAACAGGAGAAAAATAGCTTAAAAGTTTTAAAGAAAGAATATATTGCAAAATAATGCAGTACTATGGAAGTACAAAAAAACTTAATAATAGTTTAAAGGTGCCCTAGAATGTTTATTTATTTATTATTTTATAATGTTTCCTGGGTTACCCTTATAATGTTAGTATGTTTTTTAGATAAAAAATAATCATAATTTAGAAATAAATGGCATTTTTCCTAGCCTGCTTTTAGCCTCTGATTTGAACACTCTGTTTGAAGGGGCGTGTCTCTGTGGGATTCAGTGTAACCGCGGCCACTGCTGTGATTGGCTGACATGCTTGCATATGAAATAGCAACGCATTACATGTGAAACTCTCTCCCCCGAATACTTTTACTACTGCTATTATACGTTTTTACTATAACAGCTATCGAGATTAACGAATCGTGAGATGTTTTTAAAGTATTTAGATCTATTCCCATCACATAAAATGTTGCCGTGATGAGCATTGAGCAGATGACTGTGTGTTGATCGCGAGAATGAAGATCTAATCATTGCAAAGCAGTTTCTGCACTCTCTCTGCTGTCACCAATGCAAACACGATGATGTAAATACAGTAAGAGCTTCGTTGTGCAGTAACGTGCGTCATTGATTTCATAACGAGTTTGGCAAGTGTCCAGATAAACTCGCGCTGTGTGGAAAGATTGTTCTTTGATCGCTTTCTGTATATAATTTGTTCACAATTTAAATACGATTATTTTCATCCTACTAAAAGAAACGATGTGAAGCTGATATTTTAGTCACTGGCTTGACTTACTGATGCATAAACAGTATTGAACGATTTTGAGAGAAAGATTACCTGTCTGAACTTGAACAATTACACATCAGAAAGTGTTGCTTGGTAGCTCGATCCGAGGCCAGCTCTGTATTGGCGCAAGTTGAGGAAACACTCGTCGGTGAAATGTTTGAAAATTTCCAGAGAAAATAAACAATACTTTTGTGTTCATGTGTACATCCACACTGAGCAACTGCCATGCTTCGGCTGCGCAGTTCCCCCTGGCATTGAGGGCTGGCATTATGCAAATATTTGGAGGCGTACATATTAATGATCCCGACTATTGCGTCACAGTCGGTATTGTGTGGAGAACGAATCGGTTACCTAACGTAACCTCGGTTCTCTCTAGAAGAGGGAACGAGTATTGCGTAAGCTAGCTTACGCTGCGGGAAAGATTCATCTTTGCTGAGATATTGAAGCCAAAAAATTATTTCATAATTTGTATCCATTGACAACGCAGTTCCTCTGCGGCAGACCTAGAGCAGGCTAGCTAGCAGCTCATTGGTTCGCTCAGACAGAACTGCTTAAGCCTATGGGAGAGCGGGGCTGAACCCGCTTCCAATGAGAGGCGCCCGCGGTCTCATTGCGTCATGGCCCGCCAGAATGGGCGTGGCTATGGTGTAAATAACAGTCTCTCCCAGGCTTATATGTTGATTTATTTCAGCGTGAAGCGAAATGCTAGTAGCGCAAGCACGGCCGGGAACGCAATACTCGTTCCCTCTTCTAGAGAGAACCGAGGTTACGTTAGGTAACCGATTCGTTCTCTTACGAGAGGTTCTCTCGTATTGCGTAAGCTAGCTTACGCTGCGGGAACACCTGGTCAACGCCGTGCGCGCTATGAATCCACTCATGAATCCCAGGGTGATACCGGGGGATTTTTAACGTGGAGTGAATGTATTATGAGGCCGGCAGAGCGGGCACATGAAGTGTATACATAAGCATGTATGAGGCCGGCAGAGCGGGCACATGAAGTGTATAAGCATTTAAGGAGAGCACAAGGGGCGAACCGGTTGTGTGAGGGACTCCCAGTAATGCAGCTTCTTAGGGAGCTGGTTGTTAGACAGCTAGTAATTTTGCCTGCAAGGCGGGAACTTCCAAGTTGTAAAATCTGACAAAAGTGGACGGGGAGGCCCATCCCGCGGCCACACAAATGTCATGAATGGAAATTCCACAGGACCATGCCCACGATGAGGCCATGCCTCTAGTGGAGTGCGCCCTGATGCCCAGAGGGCAGGGCAGGCATTTAGATGCGTAAGCAGAGGCGATAGCGTCTACTATCCATCTAGACAGTGTCTGTTTAGAGGCGGCCAGACCTTTGGTGCGCCCCCCAAACGACACGAAAAGCTGCTCAGCGCGTCTGAACGCGGCAGCGCGCGTAGTGTACAATCTCAGAGCCCGCACCGGGCAGAGGAGATTGGCGTTGCGCTCACTATCGGATGAAGGCAGAGCCGATAGGGAAATAATCTGAGCCCTGAACGGGGTACCAATCGCCTTCGGGACATAGCCATGTCTAGGTTTGAGAATGACAACAGAATCATTCGGTCCAAACTCGAGACACGCGGCGCTGGATGAGAGCGCGTGAAGATCCCCCACGCGTTTTACTGAGGACAGAGCCGTCAGAAAAACGGTTTTGAGCGAGAGGTATTTTAGGTCCACAGACTCGAGCGGTTCGAACGGGGGTGCTTTCATAGCTTCGAGAACTATAGAAAGATCCCAGATAGGAACCGAAGGGGGGCGCGGAGGGTTCATCCTCTTAGCTCCCCTGAGGAAGCGGATGACTAACTCGTCTTTGCCCAGGGACTGAGCGCGTCGGGGTTCAGAGAACGCCGCGACGGCTGCCACGTAAACCTTGAGAGTGGAGGGGGACCTGCCCTTGTCCAGCATCTCTTGAAGGAAAACAAGCAAAGACGGCACCTCGCATGACCGTGGGTCCAGATGTTTGTCGGTGCACCATTTTGAGAACACAGACCATTTAGACGCATAGAGCCTTCTCGTGGAAGGTGCTCTAGCCTGTATGATAGTGTTTCTTACTCCTTCTGGCAAATCGACGAATAGTCGTTGATCACCCATGCATGTAGCGCCCAGCGCCGTGGATGGGGGTGCCAGATCGTGCCGCGAGCTTGAGAGAGGAGATCTGCTCTGACTGGGATGGGCCACAGGGCTGTCTGTGACAGCTGAGTGAGCTCCGGAACCCAATTCTGACTCTCCCAACGCGGGGCTATGAGGAGCACCGAGTGGCGTGTGTCCCTGATCCTCTGAATTACCTGTGGTAGCAGAGCGATCGGAGGGAATGCATAGAGCGGGCGGCGAGGCCATTCCTGGGCTAGCGCGTCCTCGCTCCTTGAGAAAAATATTGGGCAGTGAGCGTTCTCTTCTGACGCGAAGAGGTCCACCTCTGCTCTGCCGAATAGCCGCCACAGTATTTGGACCGTTTGTGTGTTCAGGGACCATTCTCCTGAGGAGATGAGGTTCCTGGACAGTATGTCTGGACCGTCGTTCAGATGGCCCGGCACATGCGTCGCTCTGAGCGAGAGCAGGCGGCTCTGAGACCAAACTAAAATGCGGTGTGTCAGTAGGAAGAGATTCCTGGACCTGACACCGCCCTGACGGTTGAGATAGGAGACCACAGCCATGTTGTCCGAACGGATCAGGACGTGGTGTCCCCGAATGAGCGGGAGGAAGCGCGAAAGCGCGTTCTCGACCGCAAGCATTTCCAGACAGTTTATGTGTACGGGGCTTTCCTGTGTCGACCAATGGCCGAAGGCCGGTGAGCCCTCGCAGACTGCACTCCAACCCGTGTTGGATGCATCTGTCGAGATGACTTTTCGGCGGGAAAAGGTCCCCATCGTGACGCCCTGTCGAAACCATTCTGCTACTGTCCATGGCTGCAGCGCCGTGAGACATGTCTGCGTAACTCTGATCAGCTGGCGGCCCGTGTTCCACGCGCGGTGGGGTACACGGCTGTTTAACCAAAACTGAAGCGGACGCATGTGCAGAAGGCCCAGCTGAAGCACAGCGGAGGCTGAGGCCATGTAACCCAGCATCCTCTGAAAAGTTTTCAGAGGTGTGCGGGTGCCCATCTGAAACGAGGCGGCCAGTCGCTGTACACTGCGCGCGCGCTGTGTAGACAGGCGAGCCGTCATCGTGACCGAGTTCAAATCTATTCCTAGAAAGGAAATCGATTGACTGGGTTGAAGGGAGCTCTTTGTCCAGTTGACAGAGAGGCCCAGCGTTTTCAGATGGTCGAGGAGAACTGCGCGGTGCGACAGAAGCTCAGTCTGTGATTGGGCCAAAATCAGCCAGTCGTCCAGATAATTCAATATGCGCAGCCCCTGGCTCCGCAGGGGGGCGAGCGCCGTATCCATGCACTTCGTGAATGTGCGGGGCGCCAGGGATAAGCCGAACGGGAGAACGGCGTATTGATAAACATGACCCTCGAAGGCGAAACGTAAGAATGGCCTGTGACAGGGATTTATCTGGATCTTTATCTGGATTTATCGCACCTGCGCGAGGAGTTTCCTGGTAGTGAGCATCTTGAACGGTCTCCTCATGAGTACTTTGTTCAAAGACCTGAGATCTAAAATCGGTCTGAGGCCGCCGTCTTTCTTGGGAACCAGAAAATAACGGCCGTAAAACCCCGACTCGGTCATAGATGGTGGGACTCTCTCTATGGCGCCCTTTTGCAACAGCGTCGCAATTTCTGAGCAGAGCGTGCCGGCGGCCAGCGGGCTGACAGTAGATTCGAGCCGCGCGCGCGCACGAGGCGGGCGGCGGTGAAACTGTAGCAGATAGCCGTTCTTTATAATGCTTAGCACCCACGGGGAAATGCCTGGAATGGCTTCCCACGCTTTGGAGCATGCGGCTAGTGGCCGAATGGCTATATCGCCCTGATTGCTGCACATAGCGGGCTGGACACAGTGTGTGGGTGCGCTTTGAATGTGTGTGGCAACGGGATTTGCACTCAGAGAGGAGTCTATGGGCCGTGAAACAGAGCGAGCAGAGAGGGGACACGCGCACGAGCTCGTGGGCGTGTTTATGTTCTCTGATATTAGAGCGGGCTGTGCCCGTTTCATGTGATGGGGCTCTGATAGAGACACGGGATATGTTATGCTTGTGTGTATGGGTGAGCACATGATTGTGGGCACATTTTCTACACAACTGGCAAATTTTCTCTTTTTGAGATTTCTCTGGGTAGCCGTAAAAACGGCTTTTTGTCGCTCGCAAGCGGGCTGGGACACCGGCTTGTTTGTGGCGGTCAACACTACAGCAGTCGGCGAAACAACGGGGACTGGCAGAGGGCGAAGCTTTGACGGCGGTCCGGCCGCAGCGGGAGAGCACCGTCGTTTTCTTAACTTTGCTAGGCAGACTTCTGATGATCAGGCTTCAGCGTGATCTTAGGTCGCGGGCCCCGTGGGGGCGGCGGTCTGCGGCGGCTGTCAGAGCGAGAGCGAGGGCGGCCGCCCTGTCTGCGCTGGGCTGTTTGAGTCTGCGGAGGGGGGCGCTGTGGTGGATCTCTGGCAGGAGGCTCGCGAGAGCGGTCCGCGGAAGAGCTAGCGCGGCGGGGCAGAAACAAATTCATCGCCTGAGTAGCTTTCTGGACCTCGGAAAAGCGATCGACGATTCCCGTGACAGCAGATCCGAAAAGGCCCGTCGGGGAGAGGGGCGCGTTAAGAAACGCGGCGCGCTCAGAATCTCCCATGTCGGCGAGCGTGAGCCATAAGTGTCCCTCGGCTACACAAAGGCTGGCCATGCATCTCCCCAGAGCTTGTGCGGCGGCTTTAGTGGCGCGAAGGGCGAGGTGTGTAGCACTTCTCAGATCCGTGACAGCGGGGGAGGGGTTTCTACCGCTTTCGGCCCACTCACGGAGAATATCGCTCTGTAATACTTGGAGGACAGACATAGAATGTAGCGCTGCGGCGGCCTGACCGGCGGCGGCGTAGGCGCGAGCATGAAAGCTCGAGGTCGCTCTGCAAGCTTTCGAAGGAAGCGTGGGGGAAGAGCGCCATCTAGCAGAGGGCGGGCAGAGGTGTGCGGCGACCAAGTCCTCAACGGGCGGCATGGCTGAGTAACCTTTTTCGGCGGCTCCGTCCACCGAGCGCAGCGAGGCGGATATATCGGAGCGGTTTCTAGCCGAGAGCGGGGCATTCCAGGACTTCGTCAGCTCTGTGTGAAGTTCAGGCAGGAATGGGGCGGCCCGGTTGCACGCGGGGGTCGAGCGCAGATGAAAAAAGCTGCCGTCCATCCGGTTCGGGGCCTGCTCGGGTGGAGGAGACCACTCGAGACCGAGGCGTTCGACGGCCCGTGAGAGGAGGCGCATTAGTTCCTCCTCTATCCCGGCGCGGATCCCCGCCGACTCTCTCGTGGATCCGAGAGATGACCATTCTTCACTGTCTGATGCGAGCAGTGAACAGGAATCCTTCTCCTCCGCGGCAACATCGGAAGCGACAGAGCGGCCACTCGGCGGCAACTGTATGTCCGGCAGGGGCGGGGAGGGAGAGCGGGAAGCGGGAAGCGGGAAGCGGCGGCGGCGGCCCGCATGGTTCCGCAGGGGGCTCCGGCGGCCTCTGGGAGCGGCGTTTCTTCTTACGCGGCGAAGAGGGAGGCGACGCGGGAGCGGATTTTGCTGCCAGAAGTCGTGCCCGCAGGGACGACAACGGCAGGCTCTCACAGAAGTCGCATCCTCCATCCGCGAGGGCGAGTTCTGCGTGCTCGAGTCCCAGGCAGAGAGCGCAGATGACATGGCGGTCTCCGTCCTCGAGAGGAAAAACGAGACATCTTTAAAAAGACGCTCGGCTCTTTTAGATATATAAAGAGAAAAGAGAAGGATACAGTCGTCGGATGGCGCTAGCTTGCAGGGCGGCTGAAGGTGGCAAAGACGGCCGGCTTCTTCAGGGTCCGGGAGCTCGCTAGAGTGATGCCTTCTCGACGGCGACGGCTTTTCTCAGGACAGCAGAAGCGTGCAGCTTGCTGAAGATGAAATGAATCAACATATAAGCCTGGGAGAGACTGTTATATACACCATAGCCACGCCCATTCTGGCGGGCCATGACGCAATGAGCGCGCGGGCGCCTCTCATTGGAAGCGGGTTCAGCCCCGCTCTCCCATAGGCTTAAGCAGTTCTCTCTGAGCGAACCAATGAGCTGCTAGCTAGCCTGCTCTAGGTCTGCCGCAGAGGAACTGCGTTGTCAATGGATACAAATTATGAAATAATTTTTTGGCTTCAATATCTCAGCAAAGATGAATCTTTCCCGCAGCGTAAGCTAGCTTACGCAATACGAGAGAACCTCTCGTAAGAGAACCGACCGTTTTTCAGGGGTGTTTTTCATAAACGTGAATTAAATGAGAACGCGAAAACAGTCCAGTTTGAGATTCACTCTATGTCATGTCCATGCACTGAACTCTTGTTATTTGACTATACCAAGGTAAATTCAATTTTGAATTATAGGTCACCTTTAACAATAACTTAACAATAGAAACTAATTCCAAACAATGTTACTATTAATTATTTTAGCTATATACAATTTTACGAAGGGGATCTCATGAGGGGGTCACGAGAATGATCATATTTTGCATCTAAAAGATTTAAAACCACTAGAGAACCGCTTGCACTGTGAATTGTTTAGAATGGTATTGTGAACTGGTTCAAAAGATTAATTGAAAAGACTCGACTCAAGCCAACGACTCGTTCAGAAATCGGTTAGGTTCTTCTCACAGAATGCATCGTTTTTTTGTTCCACTATGCTGCTTTTTAAACGCGCTAGACTGCGCCGCGTCTGGCTGCTTTTCTGCGTTTTTTTGCGCATTATGATCACGTTTTTAAGACGCCTATAGTCAAGTTAAAAGAGGTTCAACAATCGGAAGATTAGTCAAGTATTGTGAGCACGTTTAGAGTATATAGCAACTGTATAATTTGACGGCTCTTCCTGTTATTACGTTATTTCCGGAGCACAGAATGAACAATACATATTTTGTGGTTAAATGTTTTTAACATCTAACCCATTCCCCATTTATTTTAGCAATGTTATGTAGGCCCATGTCTCATTTGTCATCGTCAAACAATTTATTTATTATACTACGGTATGTATGTCGCATTAGGCCCATATCAGCCTCTACACATAATAACCTGTTAACTCTATTTCTGCATCTATTTCTCCCTCTGTATGTCTATCTCAGGACAGGCTATTATACAGTGTACAGGCAGGTGTACAGTATGGAGATGCAAACAGTCTACAGGTGCTGCCCAGGATGGATGCAGAGAGGGGAAGAGAGAGGCTGTCTTCATAGTGAGTATCATAACACTGTATATGTGTGTGTGTTATGGATACAGAGTATCTGAACAGTGTTATCTACAGGAGTGTGTTCTTCTGGTACCTGCTTTAACGGTGGGATGTGCTCTGAGACCAGTGATCAGCTATGTCAGTGTCCAGAAGGGTTCGAAGGAACGCGCTGCCAATACGGTGAGTCTTTCATGCCCTTTGAAGGGGTTGAAGTTTCAGCGCCTGAATAGTGGCTTATTTATCTTTTGAATGTTCAAAAGGTCTGCTGCATGGGTCAGGCTGTTTGCGTTTATGCATATGAGTTTGTGTTGATGCAAGAGTGTTGTATATGTCTAAGTCGAGGTCAATTGGTGTCTTTGAAGCTTGTTTCCCTGGTGTTTCTCCTCCCACACTCTCTTTCCACCACCTGTGAGTTTTCTCAGGCAAACGTCACTGTGGTTTGTTAGATTCTCACTTGTTTCTGTCTCTCATGGTTTTTTTTGACAGCACATGTGAGGTTTTCACACTGTGAGGTGTCGAATGAGAGTGTATGTGTTCTGGTGGTAAACATGGTTTACCAGATCTGGTTATCTGTTTAACAGCAGAGTTTGACTTCAATTGAAACCAGCAGAGTAAATATGCCTTTGAGCATTGAAGAAGCCTCACACACAGTAGTATGTGAATGAGATTTCGTGTTTGTGTCTTAACAGTAAACCTCTAAGTTTAGTCATTGATTTGTGTGTGTGTGTGATCTGCCTAAAGCAGCTTTCCTGCTGCGGTTTTGTGCTGAGATGGAGGTTTGTGCTCCTAAAATGCTTTCCCAGAGTTTCTAAAATTAAAGTTTTCTTCTGCATGTCCGTAACACAGAAGGCTAATGGCTAAACAGTATGACGGTGAAATGACTGTGATGAAAAATGTCTTTTCCATGTTGGACTGGTAAACCCATTAAGCTCATTTGACTCTGAGACTGTGTATATGTGCATGTGGAAGAATGTTTTTACAGTGCTCTCTTTCAATAGACGCTGCCACTGCAGCCCAGGACACGCTGTAGCTCATCTGCCCTTTCCTGTTGGACTGATTTGCTGTGTTTAAAAGCCACTGGTCACGTCTCAGTTCTGAGAGAGAGAAAGCAGGGAATACTATTCATAGAATCAGAAAGTTAAACCCTCATGTTGTTCCAAACCTGTAGGACTTACTGTCTTCTGTGGAACAAAAAATGAGACACATGTGCCTTAGAGGTATTTATTTTGATATTAGAGGACAATTGAATCGCTCTTTAATAGAACAGAGACTACTGTTAACTATTAACTATGATTTGGCCTCAATAAACTCCTAATTGCTGCTTATTAATAGTTATTAAGGTAGTCGTTAAGTTTGGTATGATTAAGGGATGTAGAATATGGTCATGCAGAATAAGGCATTAGTATGTGCTTTATAAGTACTAATAAACAACCAATATCCTAGTAATATGCATGCTAATAAGCAGCAACTAGTGAGAATTGGACCCTAAACGGAAGTGCTACCGATATATTAACTAGTATTAATTGAATCAAGTCTCAACATTGTTTCAGATGTTTCTCCTCAAATTGCTTAGAAGAAATGAAAATAGACACATATGAGACAATTGTTGACAAACTAGAAAATGAATTTGGTCAGAAGATCTCAGATCATTTGGTCTTGAAGTCTTTTGAGGAAGGCTGCAAAAAGTCTTCATTTACTCTCCATTTAAAAATGTAAAAGTTGTGTTGTTCTATTAAACAACAGTCTCTTCCTGGTGGGGTTGAAGAGACGCGTGGGAAACAAGCTCTTCACTGTCCATTACTGCAACTTCCCTGTTTACAGGTTTACAATATGTGCTAAGCGGACAGTGTTTAAAGATGTGTCTGTGTGTACTGAGTGTGTTTGATACAGTTTGCCTGAGGGTTTCCTTTCCTCCATCTTGTTTGCTCTACACTGGAGTTAAGAGCTACAACCCCACTGAGGGTCCTGACTCTGCATACTTCCATGGAATACCACAGAGTATTGAGGAGTTCAAGAGTTACTGATCCACAAACAACTTGTTTAGGCACCTCTTTAAATTGGGTCACATATCTTACATTCTTTGCATGGACACACACAGATATCCATATATTATATTCTTATATAGTCCAGTTGACATCTTTATAATTTCAGTACACAGACCCAGCCTCACTGCTTTGAATGCAGAAAGGCATCATTTCATTTAAAGGGATAGTTCACCCAAAAATTTAAATCCCTTCATAATTTATTCACCTTCATGAATACCAAACCTGAATGACTTTATTTCTTCTGCAGAACTCAAAAGAAGATGTTGTTTTGAACCCTATTGACTTTCATTGTATGGACAAAAAAGTTCAAACATGCTTTAAAATATCTTCTTTTGTTTTCCACAGAAGATATAAAGTCATACATGTTAGGAATGATATGAGGGTGAGTAAATAATGTGAGAATTTTCATTTTTGGATGAACTATCCTTTAATGGTTCATAATGTTACACAATTTTGAGTGTTAATGTACTGTACATGTATAATATATTATGTATATAATATAATATTGTACATCGACATTGCCAAAATAGATGCATTTAATATACTGTATTTGTTTCTTGGAAGACAACATTGGGACAGAATTGGGACAGCAATTATATACCGTACATTTTTTAATAATTAATCATTTTTGGATTTTTCATCTGATTAATCAAAGGAATAATCAACAGATTAACTGATTATCAAAATAATTGTTAGTTGCGGCACTACTTTTTTTTTTTTTTTGGCTGGCTAATAGCACCCAGTCAGAAAACCCTGACACGCTTTAAACATGCTTAAAAATAAAGTTTTTTTATTGGCATCTATGGTTCCATTAAGAACCTTAAACATCCATGAAACCGTGCCATTGCACAAAAGTTTCTTAGTGAAAGAGGGTTCTTCAGATCATTAAAATCATTCTTTTATGATTTGAAAGGTTCTTTGGGAAACCAAAATGTTCTTCTTATGGCACTGTAGCATCATGGCACAGACTTCTGCATGAGCAAGCGTCAAAAATATAAGGATCTTGTTGGCAAATATTGTTTCCCCCCTGTCTGCGTGGCCTTGATTATGTCAGTATAAAAGAACATTCAGTTTTAATGAAAGATTTTTCCTCAGAATAACATGTCCTGATCAATCATGCACAATGAGACCCGGAACATTTATTAAGAAAGAGTCAATTGTTTTTCCAGTTTTCCCCTTTCTCACTGCTCTATGTCTTTATCTTTCAGTTCACTCACCTTTTCTGAACTAATTATGATTGAGGTCCTCAGATAGATTACTTTCTGTTCAAAAGCTTGCTTATCCAGAATGGACAGACCTTTCAGTGTAAGTCGTACTGATATGCTCCATATGCTGGTTTGGTGAGAAACTCCTATTTGAACAAGAACTTCACTTCTGCAGGACGCTCTGGCAATGAAATCAGTGTCCTTGAGAGTGAGGAGTGAGTTTCCTGGTCAAAAGGTTATATCTTGAGTGAGTCTGGAACATTTAAAACTTTATTCAAGTGAGATCTTAGAAGAAAATGAATTTACCGTCTCCACTCAGCAGGTGATCTCAGTTGAGAGACAGAGAAACCAAATCCTGCTGTGGAGAAACATGAACCGGTTGTGTGTGTGTGCTGGAATGTTCTGTTGCTTTTAACACAAAACCCTCTAGACCCCTAAAGATCTGTCTTTAGCTGTCAATATTCAGTGTTATAAATGAAATACAAGTTATTGAAGGAAAATTATTTTAGCTTATTAGTGATTCATGAAACTTAGACTAAATGGTGCTTTCAACTTTATCTCAGATCATGTTTCTTCTAAAATTCCTTATAGGAGAAATACATAGACAAAATAGAGACACAAATTATTGACACAGAAAAAGTAGAGCGCTACAAAATGAATCTTGATAGCATATAGTGCAGATAATAAGTTGGAAGGTTTTTTGATTGCAGACTTTGGTTGGCTAATATGAGCACAGTTGAGACATTATTGAGATCTCTTCTGAAACTCTTGAAGAGACAAAAGTGAGATTAACTAATGCGATATGGTCTTTAATATTTTTGTTCTTTAGGAGAAACAGTTGAAATATTTAGAGGGATCTTCTTGATATATTTATAGAATTGATATAATTAATTGAATTGATACTTTCAGCAAGGACACATTAAATTGACCAAGAGACAGTCATTTATTTTAATTTGTAATAATTTACAATATTGCTGTTTTTAATGGAACATAGAGACTTAAAAAACCTCTTACTGACCACATTTTGTCTAAGTAGGCTACTAGGCTTGTTAGGGCTTGAAACACAGTCATGGTTATATAGTTTGTGAATCTTCATATTTGATTACCAAAATGGTGGTAATTTGTTTTCTCTTCATAATTAGTTATTTTCATGGAGTCAGTAAAGCACCTGTAACTTAATATTTGATCGATTATTGAAACATCCTGTTGGTAGCTGTATACAGATCATCCGTTAATTGCGGAAATGCGTAATTAATGTGCAAATGCTTGCCAGATGTTTTAAAGTCCCTTGCTGTTTGAAAAGAAGTCATGCTTGAATGTGAGGCCTGGTTTGGATATATGTGTGTTTATGTAGGATAATACAGGGCCAAATGCAATGATCTGTGTGATCACTATACAACAGAAGACACGTGCCTCTAGACGCTGAGAGACGGGCAGACAGTTGCTGTACAGTTACAGTATACGCAAAACTATCTTTTTCTCTGATCGGACACACAGTTCGCTTAAACGTTTTGTAACTGCTCTGTCTAACCCATTAAAGAGGATTTCCCAATGAAAGGACAGGGGATATTCATGAGAAACTGCTGCTTTTCCTCGAAGCATTCATAACCCTGAGAGATAACCAAATGACTTTACCATGCATTGAGACAAAGTAAAAGGAATAAGAGAGTATGAAAATACCCAATCTTTATTGTGTTATGTTTCCTTTGAGACTCATTTGCGCATTTATAAGCAGTACGAGTTTATATCTTAAATTAAAAGGTCTAACTGTGACAATAATCCTCTTATTTACTTCTGAGGGGAAAAAGACACTATGTAGGGGACCTTGTGAGGTCTTGTCAGGTGTCGTCTGCAGAACGCATCAGAGATCCCAGGAAAGATAGCTATGGTTATTAGATTTCCGTTCACCTCTGATCGCTCTGGCCCAATAATTAAGGCCATCAGTTTATATGTAATACATCTCAGTATTTAAATGGAAGTCAGTAAGAGATGTGTTTTATATAGCTGAATGAATTAATGGATTGTCATAAATCCCATACATTAAAATACTCATGGGAGGAGTCTTGGGAGCTGGTCCATTTTAACTTGAGCCAATAACCAACCAGAACACCTCAGAATAACATTGTGCAATGGGGAGAAACAGTTTTAGTGACAATTTTAATATATGTATATATAACTTTTTTTTTTTTTTTTTACAAATAGGTACATAAAATATTTTGAAAATATAAAATATTGTAAATATTTATTTTAAAAATTTTACAAATAGGTACATAAAATATTTTGAAAATATAAAATATTGTAAATATTTATTTTTAAAATGTATGTATATTTTCAAACCTAGGATATTTTAATTTATTTGTAAACGTTACATTTTTTTTTTTAGCATTTTTTTTATCTGCAACAAAGATCAACAAATTACAAAACAAAACAAAAGATTTTATCATAGAAATCATGATTTATCTAACCGGGCAAAATTCAACTAGTTGGGTATATTACATTTTTTTCAAATTAGACTGAACAATGAATTTAAAAAATGCGAGACACAGGGCAGTGGAATGAAAAAAAAAAACCATGCAAGATATCAGAATTATGGGAGTAACTTCCATTAAACTGTAAACAATCAGCGAAAGGTTCGCTCTATGAAAGCAATGTGTTTTCAAAAACTGGGTACAGTGAAATTACATTATTCTACTCACCTCTCAGCCATTGAACATTAAAAGGACATTTAAAAGTGTAAAAGCATTAACAAATTCCTGGTTAAATTTATCTGCTTTAACCATTCCGGTAAACACAGCTAATCGGGATTAAAAGTGAAAGAAGAGACAATTACATTTTAAAGCATCCGTGTGAAAACGAACCTGGAAAGAGATGTGAGGATTTGGGGAGAAAATGGTAAAATACATGTCTTGCTCATGTTTAATTTAAAAAAACATTAGAAAAGCATTACAGTGGAATACAATAATACAATACATGTCTGTGTTGTACATTATTTGTGGCATTCAATATACAGAATATGTTCAGCTCAAAACCCTCTTTAAAAGATATAAATGTTTAAATATTACACAACACAAACTGAATTAGTTCAACAACCTTTTAAAATAGTCTTTCCATTTGCTTTCCATTTCCTGTTGTTTATTCTTGTTTTATTTCTAGATGTTTTTCATCGTTCTGTTCCCTGTTCCTGTTTCCCAGTCAGGGCCAGAGCAAGATTAATGGCAGAGGTCTGGATACAAAACAGATCTAGAGGTAGAAAGATTTAAAAAGACAAAGAGAACGATCACCAGGTGTGAAACGTAGAAAACAGGGGCCTAAACAAGCTGAACAGATGGCGGAGTGGATGTTTATTCTCAGATGTATTTGTGTGTGTGTTTCAGCGTGCATGTCAGTCCTTATCAAGACACACATTTTAGCCACAGCAAACACATTGTAGTTTTGTGAAATCACTTAAAGGCATAGAAAATTCTGGCATCTTTCTCTGCAAACCTGTATAAGCGAGTGGACAGCACCACAGTTAGAACGCCTAACGTCTCAGAACATCTGTAAATCTGTCCTTGTCTTTCCACAGGAAAGATGTTGTCAGCACTCTGTATTATTATGGGATGTTTGCTTGAGGTCAGTGCCGTGTCGTCCAGTCAAAGGTTGTTAGAGAGAAGAAAACAGAAAGAAGAAAACAGATGGAGATGGGTGAAAATATATATATGTTCTCATTTGATAACATTAAAAATACAGATTTTTTATAATATTAGATAGTTGATGTTCAAATTATAGTCAGATGTGAAGTTCATCTGGTGATGCTGTGTTGCCTTAGAAACCAAGCGTGGGTGTGGCCTGAACCTTTGCAATGGCGACCCATCCTTGGTTTCTGAGGCTTTGCAGAAAACACACTATCAAATAATTGTATTTACTGATTGATTTATAAGATAAGTTTCTATGAACTTATTGCGAAACATTTTTGCTTTCACCATTTTAAGTTTGTGCGCAAACCTGTCGAGCAGAAGGCAGCCGTTTGGACCAGCTTGTACTTATTACCTGAGTATGAGCGCTGCATGGTGTGTGTTTGTTTGTGTGTGTGGGGGTTTATATAAGTGGGTTTGTTTGTGTGGTTTGTCTGTTTATGTCTGTGTGATGACATTTTTCTTACAATTATGTTAAAATGACGCACAATGGCATGAGACAGGAAACATTTTTACAGAAAGTCTTTCACAGATCTAACCAGCATGCTGGAGAGAGGGAACTTATCAAAATATAAAGAGGAAGTAGATGGATAAAGAAAGACAGATTTTCCAGATGGATTTAAAGTAAAATATTAGTAGGAAATTATTAGCATATTAATTTCCAAAACACAATATAAAGATTGTTATAGTCTACATGGATGCTCAGGGTTTTTCTTTCTTTCTTTCTTTCTTTCTTTCTTTCTTTCTTTCTTTCTTTCTTTCTTTCTTTCTTTCTTTCTTTCTTTCTTTCTTTCTTTCTTTCTTTCTTTCTTTCTTTTGTCTTTTCAGATATAAACGAGTGTGCGGACGAGAATGGCGGATGTGAAGGCACGTGCTGTAACACTATCGGCAGTTATTACTGCAGGTGTCCTGATGGTAGTGAACTCGGAGATGATGGGAAATCCTGCCAAGGTAAGCGCACACTCACATCCGTGTTTATATTATGTTTCGGAAGACAATTAACCTCTCTATAATCAGAGTGACCCGCTTAAAACAAACATTCGAGAAAGGAGCCCACATTATTCATATCTAAAAATAAGCAGCAGTAAATTAAAGGGGACCTATTATGCAAAATTCACTTTTACATGGTGTTTGAGCATAAATTTGTGTCAGCACAACCACCCTATAATGGTAAAAATCCACCCACTGTTTTTTTTTAATCCACATAAATCATAAGCAGTGTCTCAGAACAAGCCGTTTGCAGATTCTAGCATATGTGACCTCACAAATAATTAGGCCCCGCCCACGACTGCTGACAGACTCCGCCCTATTAGCATAGACCCGCCCTGAGTGAGCTGTACACAGTCCGCCATGTTTATCTCCTCGCCAGAGCATTTAACAATTCTTTTTAAAGCTACTAAAGTTATTCAATTAGGAGCAGTGAGTGATTTTCTGTTTTTCTTTAGTTGTTTGATTCATATTATCAGCATATTTAGCAGTAGATACTGTAGTGCTTTCACTTTAATACACAGATCTAATATACACATGCGATTTCTTTACCTGCTGTTCACGTTCACAGACATAACCGACTGCGTTCATGTGAACTTGTGTGTATTTGACAGAATACGACGTGAAAGAGAACTTAATTTTATACTTACGGGACGCGCCTTCTGACATTCAGAAAACCATATATCAGAAGTTTAGACTGATATGGCTTTAAAACGGATGCAGATAATAAACTTTCATGATGATGAAGAACATTTTGAGACTTTTTTGACCAGGTAATAATGCTTTGAACTGTCATGATCATAAATAAATTAAGTAAAGTAAGTAAGTAAAGAGTAGTTTGCAATGCTCTCTGTTAATGTAATCCAGGAATTACCCTTTAATCAATCCTGTGCATGTGAGTGCATCGGGGGCTTGTTTAGGCCATTAGTTTTGGCTAGGTTTCATCATGAGATGAAAGATGATGTATAATGGGCTTTGTGTGGGCAGTAGTGCCTGAATGTGCTGAGAGAGACGGTTCTACATCTGTGTCCATCTCAGCTGTTAGTGTGTAAGTGTGGGGATGATGATCCTGCCTGCTGTCTCAGGTCCTGCTGGACTGAAAGGCTACAGGTGAGGAAACAGGTGTATGAGAGATGCCACATTTACACCGTAAAGATGGCACAGATGCACTTAGGTGTCTTTACAAAGACTGTTTTATGCTGCTGGCATAAATATATTTACACAGCAATTTCAATAGTAAATTTTATACTAGGGGCTAAGTTGGGTCAGAGCAGGCATCATTTAGTCTTGCTTTTGCTTTTTTTCAGCATTACGTCTTTACACCGAATTTTGAGCAGGCACAGAGCAGCCTTAAATCAGACGCCAGCCTAGCTAGAAAAAGAGAGAACATAACACAGAGCTGCAGCAGTTCTGTTATTAGGTCATTCTGATGAAGAAATACTATAGAAAACTCAAATCAATGAAGGCTGGTTAAATTAGAACTGTTAATAATTTGATTATGTTTATTTGCATGGGCAAATATTGAAGAAAATGTGGAAGTTTGTTTGAAAGATGTTTTTTTTTATGATTTCAACTATATCCACTATCTAGTAATTTATTGTAAATTCACAGTGGTATTTTGTAATTGATATTTGATAGTCTTCATGTCTTGTAACATGACATGTGTGCATCTTCTGACTCTGTAATGGTTGCTTTCGATTTTTGGGAAATAGTCAGATGGCTGTAATTGAATTCATTAGGGTCAGAAGGTTTAATTATTGCTAATGAACCACATTCAATAATCCAGTCATGGGGCAGGCAGTACAGCACTTGACCCATAGTTGACTGCATACATGTAGGAATCTGTAGGAATTCATCCCATGCAAGAGTCTGACAAAACCCATGTAACACTGAGAAAATTGTAAATGATCTCTCAAATAGCTTTACAATATCATGTATTTTTGAACATTTGCAATGGCTCTCAACAATATATCATTACAGTGAAGTAACTTGTGTTGATCTTGGACAGAGTTCTTTGACAAAGCAGTTTGAATTAGTACATTATATGTGAATGTGTTCAGCAGATGTTACAGTATATGCTGTAATTACTTAGGAATGAATGATCAGGTATCATACAGCAGCTAACTTATTAACATAGCAAATTTCTCTGAGAATTCAAAAGTTTGACATTTTAAAGTTGTCATTGTTAATTTTCTAAACAATTTTCATTTTAACAAAGTTATATTTTCAATACAAAAACCTAAAAACAAAAGTGAGATCTGACAGCTCATTTCTGTTCTGACAGTGTGAATTTATGATAGGAAATCTGTGTTTTAAAAAATAGAGATTCTTATGATGTCATAAGCGGATGTATAGGATGAATTCACTTTTGTTCACTACAGACTTATCCATAACTCCACAATCCTTACACTTTTCCCCTCAAACTTTACCTAAGGCTTCTTTTAAATACGTTTTTAAAAGCAAACATCTGTTAAAGCATTAAAGAATTGTATGGCATGAAACAAGGCTGGTCACCATTAATCTCATGTATATAAGCACATTCCTCATACTGACAGTTTTACTATTACGATTTATGGCAAATCTCTAATGCATTGAACATGATAATGTTTCATACAGAACAGAACGAAAAAGTAATATTTCCAAAAAAGTACCCGTATTGTCATTTTTTTCCAAGTACCATGCTTACTAGCAGAAAATCATTGATTAAATTATTTATAAAATAATATATTAATTATTATTTTGTATTTACCAGTGATTTTACCACTTGGATTTATTTTTTGCTGTACACAGCCCCTAACAGGAACGATCTCCAATGCTGTTGCATTTTGACCCACAGCCATATTTAGACATTACGTGAATGAATGAACGAATGAATGAATTTAGAGACAAATCAAATTTAAGAGGACCTATTATGCCCTTTTACAAAGTCTTGATTTTGTTTTTGGGGTCTACTACAGTTGTGATGGCATTATAGAAGAAAACTCAGCTGTTATCTTGGAAAAAGAAGGTTGCAAAAAGTATTTAATAACAGGGAGCCAATAATTATGGCATATGTGTTTTGGAGAAAAACATTGATTTCATAATGTGTTCAAAAAAATTGTTAAAATTTCTTTCTTGTTGCATTGTTGCAGCACCCCTTTTCACAGTCTGTCAGTAATGGTTTATTTAGTTCCAGTCTCTATGAAGCCACTCCTTCCAAAAAGCGAAGTGTGCTCTGACTGGTCATCTCACTCAGTGTGTTGTGATTGGTTAACCGCTTCGAGCGGGTTTCAGAAATATCACGCCCCAACCATAACTGCATTAGATCCAGGTGGGAAAAAACAGCGTCTCTTGGACATGGCGAAAACACACTAGTAACGCAACTCAACTAGACCTCGCTTCCTTTATTTTGCGCATGAATTGGGCAGGAACATTTTAGTGAGGTCAGAAACAGTGTTTCCCTTTCGTAGTCACTCCGAGTTACGTCGGATGACGGAGAATGGGGGTTTCGCTAGAAAGCCAGTCCTCTTCGAGTATTAAAAAACGAGCCAATGGCAAAGAAATGCCATGGGTCTGCGGAATTTGCATAATGTATCTCCGCCTCACCGCGTGAGTATTTAAGGAGAGACACCTGCAACAGCAGATCATGTTTTCGCTTCGGAGCCAAGAGAACCTCTTCACTCCACAGCCACAAGACCTGAGTTTACAAGTGACTCACCTCTTCGAGACGAGCGAACTCTCCAGTGTTGGTGTGACGGCGGTACCCAGCGAGTCTTCACATTGCCTGCGATCTGTGCAGTGGTCTGCCAGACTTTGTGTTTTCTCCCTGGTCGCCTCAGCATTGCAGAGTTTTCCTCTCCTAAAAGAGCTGCACGTGGCACGTCTTTTTAAAGTTGTCTCGCCCGTGATCTTCTGGTTGCGGTTGATATCTGTCATCTTCTGATGGGCACGAGCGCTGCTTTGTGTGTCTGGGCTTTGAGCACGCTAAAGCAGCGCTCGTGGATGACTCATGTTCCTTCTGTGGGAACATGGCCATCGCAACACTTAGATTGAGACTCAATGATCTATCAGTGAGAGTCCCCGCGTCCACCACCCGTCCTGCTTCCTCCACGAGAGGTGGTAGTTCGGCTGGGGGACAGGGTGATCTGAGGGTAACGGTGTGCAGCAATCCGACGATGCGTCCTCGGACCACGCCCCCCTCCGCTGTGTTGCAACCCGCGAGTGCCGCGGTGATTCAGGCGGGCGCTTCTTCGGAAGCTCCGCGTGTTTCATTCGGCGCTCCAAAAGAGGACGCGATGTCGATCGCGGCATCACAAGGTGGGCTCGATTCTTCGGGAAGTGAGGATGCGGCTGCGTTGCCTCCCTCGGGAGTCCCAGCGTTGCCCGTGTCGGATCCCGAGATGACAGCCATGCTGTCCCGGGCAGCCGTGAGCATCGGGCTAGAGTGGAACCCTCCGCCCTGCCCCGAGCGCTCGCGGCTGGACGATTGGTTTTTGGGTGCGGCTGCCGCCTCTCGGCCTCAGCCAACCCCAATTCCTTTCTTCCTGGAGCTGCATGAGGAGCTGTCGAGATCATGGAAGGCTCCTTTGACCTCCCGTGAACGCTCGTCAGCTTTCTCCGCCTTTCCTCCCCTCGATGGCGCAGCTGCCCATGGGTACACTGGGATTCCCCCGGTGGAGCGCTCTGTTGCGATGCAACTGTGTCCTCAGAGCGCCTCCTCTCGTGGTAATCCTAAGCACCCGTCCAAGGCCTGTAGATTCTCGTCATCTATGGTGGCGAGGTCTCACAGAGCTGCAGGACAGGCGGCTGCTGCTATGCATGCTATGAGCACCTTGCAGGTCTACCAGGCCCAGCTGCTCAGAGACATGCACGAGGGCAGGACTGACCCAGGGACGTTCGACGAACTGCGTGCCGCCACTGACCTCGCTCTCCGGGCGACGAAAGTGGCCTCACGCTCCCTGGGTCAGGTGATGGCCACTAATGTGGTCCAGGAGCGTCACCTTTGGCTGAACCTGGCCGATATGCGGGACGTTGAGCGGACTCGTCTGCTCGACGCCCCCATATCCCAGGCCGGCCTCTTCGGCGGAGCGGTTGAAGACTTCGTCCAGCAGTTTTCAACCGCACAGAAGCAGTCTGAGGCGATTAAACATATTCTGCCCCGACGGCCAGCTGCTGCCTCCACCCAGCCGTCGGCACAGACGCCTCAGCCTGCTCGCCGCCGAGGGCGCCCTCCTGTGGCTCCCGCCCCTCCCGCACGGCCCCAGCAGCAGCCTTCACCCGGGCCGCATCGTGGAGGAAGCCGCAGGAAGGCGCCCCAGCCCCCTCAGGCCCCGCGCCCCGCTAAACGCCAGGCTAAGCGGCGTTTCTGAGACGGGCAGCTCAGTGATGGCATCGGATCTTTCCCAGGAGGCGGTAGCAGGCCCCCTCCTTCCCCCGGTGGAGGGCCGGGGGAGAATCTTTTGTTCTCCACTCCCCGCTGCTCACCCACGGGTGGGCAGCACCCTATTGTGGTTAAAGAAAGATCTGACACCATCACTGAGCACACAGAGCAGGATGACAGTGCGCGACGCCCCCGTGCCTCGCCACTCTCGTCCTCCTCTGTCCCTGAGGGCGAGGATGACAGTGCGTGCCGTCCCCGGACCACACCACTCTCATCCCCCTCTATCGCCAGACCCCTGGCAGAGCAGACCCCCGTGGAACGCTGGTCCTTCCCTGGTCTCCTCTGTCAGGGCGTGGAGCTTGGCTGTGCACACGCTCAGGGCCGCTATGCCACCCTTGCCTGTGCCGGTCACTCCGCTTCGCTGCCCCTCCGGGGGGACGCCTGTGGCTCGGATGATTCCACTGGATCAGTTTTTGGGGGCTTGGTTAGAGCTCCCCAATCTGTCCCGTTGGGTCGCCCAAACTATCAGGCTCGGCTATGCGATTCAGTTCGCACGGTCTCCTCCCCGCTTCAGGGGAGTCCGCTTTACTATGGTCGGTGGCAATGCCCCGGTCATGAGAGCGGAGGTTGCTACCCTGCTGGCGAAGGGTGCAATCGAGGCTGTCCCTCCAGCCGAGATGAGGTCAGGGTTCTACAGCCCCTACTTCATTGTCCCCAAGAAAACCGGTGGGTTACGGCCAATCCTGGACTTGCGCGTCTTGAACCGCTCCCTTCACAGGCTGCCGTTCAAGATGCTCACCGCCAAACGCATTTTCGAATGCGTGCGGCCACAGGATTGGTTTGCAGTGATAGACCTGAAGGACGCCTACTTTCATGTCTCCATTTTACCTCGACACAGACCGTTTCTTCGGTTTGCTTTCGAGGGGCAGGCATACCAGTACGCGGTTCTCCCATTCGGGTTGGCTCTGTCTCCTCGCGTCTTTACGAAGGTCGTCGAGGCAGCCATTGTTCCCCTACGCGAACACGGGGTTCGCATCCTGAATTATCTCGACGACTGGCTAATATTAGCTCACTCTCGAGATCAGGTTTGCGAACACAGAGACCTTGTGCTCCGGCACCTAGCCCGTCTGGGCCTTCGGGTCAACTGGGAGAAGAGCAAACTTTGCCCCGTGCAGAGGATCTCTTTTCTCGGTATGTCTGCGCAGCTTACGAGCGAGCGCGCACACTCACTGCTGACTTGTCTTCGACAGTTCGAGGGCAAGAGTGCCGTCCCACTGAAACTTTTTCAGAGGCTCCTGGGGCATATGGCATCCGCAGCTGCGGCAACGCCACTCAGATTGCTTCATATGAGACCGCTTCAGCTGTGGCTTCGCGATCGGGTCCCGAGGTGGGCATGGCATCGCGGTACGCTCAGAGTTCCAATAACTCCGACCTGCCGTCAGACCTTCACCCCGTGGCGGAACCTCAGCTTTCTACGGGCCGGAGTTCCCCTAGAACGAGTTTCCAGGCATGTTGTTGTCTCCACAGATGCCTCTGCCACGGGCTGGGGCGCCATGTGCAATGGACATGCAGCCGCGGGCTCCTGGACAGGACCCCAGCGCCTCATGCATGTCAATTGCCTCGAGTTGCTGGCAGTACGCCTTGCCCTGCACCGCTTCCACGCGTTGCTCCTGGGTCAACACGTACTTGTCCGCTCGGACAATACCACGACTGTAGCGTACATCAACCGTCAGGGTGGTCTACGCTCTCGCCGTATGTCGCAACTCGCACGCCACCTCCTCTTATGGAGTCAGAAGCACCTGAGGTCCCTTCGTGCTATTTACATTCCAGGAGTGCGGAACCTTGCAGCCGACGAGCTGTCACGGCTCCGGCCAACCTCTGGCGAATGGCGACTCCATCCCCAGTCGGTCCAGCTGATATGGGACCAGTTCGGGGACGCACAGATAGATCTGTTTGCCTCCCACAACTCATTCCATTGCGCCCTGTATTACTCCCTGACCGAGGGCACGCTCGGCACGGATGCACTGGCGCACAGCTGGCCGCAGGGCCTACGCAAGTATGCGTTTCCCCCAGTGAGCCTTCTCGCACGTACTCTGTGCAAGATCAAGGAGGACATGGAGCAGGTCATTTTGGTCGCCTCATACTGGCCCACCAAGACCTGGTTCTCCGAACTGATACTCCTCGCGACAGCACCTCCTTGGCCAATTCCTCTGAGGAAGGACCTCCTTTCTCAGAGACGGGGGACCCTATGGCACCCTCGTCCCGATCTTTGGAGACTCCACGTGTGGCTCCTGGACGGGACGAGGCAGGTTTGAGTACCCTGCCACCAGCGGTGGCGGCTACCATCACTTCCGCTAGAGCATCGTCCACGAGACATGTCTATGCGTTGAAGTGGAACCTCTTCGTCAACTGGTGCTCTTCTCGCCGAGAAGACCCCAGGAGATTCTCGATCAGTGTCGTGCTTTCCTTCCTGCAAGACGGGTTGGAGCGAAGGCTGTCTCCCTCCACCCTGAAGGTGTATGTGGCCGCTATCGCCGCATATCACGATGCAGTTGAAGGTAAGTCTCTGGGAAAGCACGACCTGGTCATTAGGTTCCTGAGAGGAGCGAGGAGACTGAATCCTCCTCACCCTCCTCTCGTTCCCTATTGGGACCTCTCAGTGGTGTTAAATGCCCTGCAGAGGGCTCCCTTTGAGCCTCTGCAATCAGCTGAGCTTAAGCTCCTGTCAATGAAGACAGCGCTCCTGGTTGCACTGGCCTCCATCAAGAGGGTAGGGGACCTGCACACATTCTCCGTTGACGAAGCATGCCTGGAATTCGGGCCGGCATACTCTCACGTGATCCTGAGACCCCGGCCTGGATATGTGCCCAAGGTTCCCACCACTCCCTTCCGGGACCAGGTGGTGAACCTGCAAGCGCTGCCCCTGGAGGAGGCAGACCCAGCCTTGGCACTGCTCTGTCCAGTACGCGCCCTCCGTGCTTACGTAGACAGGACGCAGTGTTTCAGGACCTCAGACCAGCTCTTTGTCTGTTATGGTGGGAGACTGAAGGGAAAGGCTCTCTCAAAGCAGAGGTTGTCTCACTGGATAGTGGACGCCATTGCTTTGGCTTACCAACAGCAAGGCCGACCGTGCCCCCTTGGTGTGACAGCGCACTCCACCCGGAGTGTGGCTTCCTCTTGGGCTCTAGCGCATGGCGCCTCGCTGGCAGACATCTGTAGAGCTGCAGGCTGGGCGACACCCAACACATTCGCCAGATTTTATAATCTCCGAGTGGAGCCTGTGTCCTCTCATGTACTCGCTTCAGTTAGCTAGTACTGGACCCGCTCAGGTGTCTTCGCTTGCTCGCCATTCCACTCCACGGACTGGATACGTGCGATATTTCCTCAGGTGAGCCTTCCTCTCTAAAGCCCTGAGTTCCTCCAGCACTGTTGACGCTGGCGCCAGTGTCTATTGCCTGTGCGTCGGCTAGGTGCCTCCGTGTGCATGGTTCCTCCCCTGAGTAACCCCCACATGTGTATTTCCACTGTAAGCCTCTTTGAGCATGTGTCTTTCCCTCGGCAAGCCACCTTGCCACTCCTGGAGTTGAAAGTAGATGCCACCCCACGGGCTGGTCACTCCAGTGTTCCTCCATATGTAGCCCCCTCGGGCCATATGTGTATTCTTAAGTCCTCCCTACGGGTAGGCATGCTGCGGCATATCTCCCCTGAGATATGCTTCCCAGTGTACCTTGGTATTCCTGTGTTAAGTAGGACTCCTTCGTCCGTGCCTATATCACGACAGGGAGGTCAGACTTCGCAGGGCACTGGAAGACAGCTGTGAAGGTGGCGTGATTACACGGGGACCCCTGATATAGAGAATAGCTCCCTTTTGGATAGACTTTGTGCTTTGTAACTTTTTAGACCTTTTTCATGCTCAAACAGCAACATTACACTAAAGAAATTTGAAAATGTAAAAAAACCCATAATAGTCCTCTTTAAATAAATAAATAAATAATTTATTGAAAGAAAGACGATCAGATTTTATCTGCCAAATTTATTTAATTCAAGTGAAGGTAGACAATGTCTTATTTGTTACATATGTGTGTGTTCATGCATGTTGTCCCCACAGATAAAGATGAGTGTGAGGAGCTGAACGGTGGTTGCCAGCAGACGTGTGTGAACACACTGGGTTCGTACCACTGTGAGTGCAGAGAGGGTTTCCGCATGCACGCCGATGCTCGCACATGCATAGGTAAGATCTTTACAAATCGCTTACATGCTCACAAACACACATGTATCTTGAGTAGCATCTGTGAATCACCTATAGCAATGCATTCTGGGAAGGAGAGCAACAGCAGGCTGCCTAAAACTCTGCTAGCTCAACAAACAGCGTAAACACAGCTAGTTGAGCTCTGGTTCTGCTGATCTCATCAACCTAAAACAGCCTGTTTTATCCTGTTTTACTGGAGTCTGGATGTGTCATCATCACTCTGTGACAGGCCTGGCGATGTCATCACAGTGAGACAACAGCGCTGACCTGTCCCCTAAGGCTCCGTAAATCTGCCAGCTCAGACACGACATGGAAACATCATCATTCAGAGAGCAAGAGAGAAGGAATGAGAACCTTCCAAAGCTCTTAATATATACACAAACTCCAAACTGGATTTGATTCAGAAATGTTTTCCCTTTACAATGAAAGTTTTTTCTTCCTGTCCAAACAGAAAATCTGAGTTTGCCATTACAATCTATCTGGCAGTCAAATGTCTGGGTTGACCGAACCGAATTGTAACCAAATGGTCGTAAGAGCGTTAGCAAAGGAGTGTTAAGAAAGCACTGAGTTGCTGTTTGTTTGTGGCTGTTTTCCAGTGGCCAACTCTTGCTCCGTGAAGAATGGCGGCTGTGAACACAGGTGTGTCGATTTGGGAAACGACCAGTACAAGTGTGAATGTCGCAGCAACTACCAGCTCAAAGGAGACGGAAAACACTGTGAATGTGAGTTCACATGCATACGCCATCTTTGACTTAGGTTTTTACTGTAGTAATATTGTGATGGTTATGTGAACACTTGTCTGTTTGTGTGTGTACTGTGTTATTCTCTCAGTGAAGGATCCCTGTAAGGAACGTAATGGTGGATGTTCTCATATCTGCAGTAATGTGAATGGACAGGTGCAGTGCAGCTGCAGACCAGGATACAGACGGGAAGCCGACTTTAGGAGATGTGAAGGTTTGTGTACACAGACATTTTTTACAGATAAATAATGCTTATCTTGTGCCACCTTAGACACTGTTTTGTGTCATTTTCAATTACTACCAATAGAATAATCCATAGCCGATTACAGACAATTTGTATTTTGTTCTTTTTATTTTGAGTAAATATTGTGTATTTCTTTCCCAGAAATGTATGTGCTATGGAAGTAGAATTAAAATGAAATAAAATAAGTGTAATTTTAAGAAGAAGAAAGGAAAGCTTGTGAAGACGAACTTTGATGGTTTGTTTGCTTGAATGTTAAAAATGTTGTTTTAAATAGACTTGACGAAGTCTTGAAGTTTGAAAGTTATTTTAGGCCTTACAGACATAGTTATTGTATGCCATTTTATTTTGTCTTATTATATTATATTATTTTTATTATTTATTTTATTTATTTTATTATTTTGTTATTTTTTTATTTTTATTTTTTATATTATTTAATTTTAATTTTATTTAATTTTATAGATAAAATACACACACACACACACACACACACACTGCTAGTGTAACAAGCCTGCTGTTAGTTACTATGTGTGCAGGGCAGTATATAGTCATGGGTACACATGTTTGTCTGGACCTAATTTTTTATGTCCAGACTTTATGAGACTTCAGCAGACCCCATGAAGAGACTCTTACCCCTGCTGTGCAAAAACATACACTGCCATGCTTACACACACACACACACAAATTAGTAGTGAGTTTTACACTGCCATATTTCCTAATTGCCCAATCGTTTCCTCTCCCAGACATTGATGAATGTGTGTCTGGTCAGGCTAAATGTGCTCACGGCTGTGCTAATGTGCCGGGATCATTCCGTTGTGTGTGTAATCCGGGATTCGAGCTGGGTGCTGATGGGAAACAGTGCTATCGTGAGTACACATACACATTAACACATGTTCTGTGAGTCTTTTAAAATAATGTTCGGTGTAAGCCTAAAACACTTTGGGAAACTATTATCAGATTATCTCAGTAGTTCACTGACATGTGGAATTAGTTTACTGGAGCCAAACAGTCTGTGATTGGTCAGTGTATTTGACATGCACCAATCAGTGATTAGAAAACCTTGTAGAAACTCTAACGTGGAGTGACGCTTTCTGCAGGTATAGAGATGGAGATCGTGAACGGCTGTGAGAAAAACAACGGTGGCTGCTCTCATCACTGTGAGCACACCACCAGCGGGCCCCTGTGCTCCTGTAACCAAGGTTACCAGCTCGCTGAGGACCTCAAGACGTGCATAGGTACAGTACGTGCCCCGCCTGATGGTTTTCTAGCAAATTCTTCACTACGTAAAATGTAGTTGTTTTTATATTATGAATTACTCTACCAAATATATATACACTAAGCTACATGTTTTTGAAAGAAGTAAAACAGTGATATTGTGAAATATTACAAATTAAAATTCCTGTGATGGTAAAGCTGTATTTTCAGCATCATTACTCCAGTCTTCAGTGTCACATGATCCTTCAGAAATCACTCTGATATGCTGATTTGATGCTCAAGAAACATTTGTTATTATTAACAATGTTGAAAACGGTTGTGCTGCTTAATATTTTGGTGGAAACTGATACATTTTTTCAGGATTATTTGATTAATAGAAAGTTCAAAAGAAGTGAATTTATTTGAAATAGAAATTTGTAGGAATATACATGTTCTAACTTTATATTTTTGATAAATTTACTGCATCTTAGTTAAAGTATTAATTTCTTTAAAAATATTAATTTAAATAATTCTCTGTAAATATATGCATTTTTGCAATTTAGTTGAATAACTGTATAATGACAGACAAATCTAATAACAATCCCAATGAAAAAGATACATCTGAATTACAATCATTTTACTTATTAAAATTAATTAATTGCGATTAAACAATTCTAACATAAAAGATTGTGTTTATATAATATAAGTGTGTATATATATATATATATATATATATATATATATATATTATATATATGTGTGTGTGTGTGTATATATATATATATGCACACACATATATTAAATAAACACAAACTTTTATTTTAGGATTGATTAATCGTGATGAATCGATTTGACAGTACTATTTTATATCCAACATAACAGGTCACTATTATTTAATGCCTCAAAACGGTAAAGTTGGAATAAATCTCACAAATGTTGATGGTCTTATGTAAAGTCAAGATTAACCTAACATAGAAACATAATTTGTGTGATTGTTGTGTTGTCTACACATACATTATTTAAATACTTGCCTGCTTTTTAGTTTTAATGTTACATTGTGGATTTTTTTTTCTCATGTCAGTAAGTGAAAATGTTTCTGAATTTGTGTTTGCCGTCTACAGACACGGATGAGTGTGAAAATGGGGAGGCGTGCTGTAGTCACTTCTGTAAAAATTACCCAGGAGGCTATGAGTGTGGCTGTAGACCTGGATACACACCCAACGGCTGCACATGTGATGGTATGTGTGTGTGTGTGTCAAGTCAAGTCAAGTCAAATATATTTATATAGCGCTTTTCACAATACAGATTGTATCAAAGCTGCTTCACAGTATCAATCAAAACAACTTAACAGTGTTTGTTTATTACTGGAAAAAGTCATCCAAGTTTGGTAGAGCTGATCAGTGGTATGATGGGTCATTTAATTTGAATATCCCCAACTGAGCAAGCCAAAGGCAACAGTGGCAAGGAACCGAAAAACTCCATCAAGAGACCCGATGGTGTCCTAAAACTCCATCAGATGACCCAATGGAAAAAAAAAAAACCTTGGGAGAACCCAGGCTCAGTCGGGGCCAGTTCTCCTCTGGCGTTTATGAAGTAGAGGCCGAATGTGTGTGTGTGTGTGTGCTTAGTATAATGTCTTCCTCGTTTGACCTTCTCTTAATCACAGATTGAGTCTTAAATTGACGCTGAACTACATCTTTAACTTTATAGACTTACACATTAATCTATTTTCCCCAGTTTTCCTCCTAAAGGGGCTATTTAAAGTTGATTTGAACACATTTTTGTTAACATGAAGGCTGTTTTAATATGAATGTCTCTCTTCAGACATTGACGAGTGTGTGTCCGAGACGTCAGGATGTTCTCAGTACTGTGTAAACACCCTGGGCTCTTATGAGTGTTTCTGTCAGGTGGGCTTCAGACTGGACTATGACCAGAAATCGTGCTCACGTGAGTACAAGTTTGATTGGCTGTTTAGTGCTGACCTTACAAAATGTTGTAAATCAGAGTATTATTGACACCTAGAAGTTTTGAGTTGGTGAAATGTTATATAATCTCTATCAGTGTTATTATAGTATCATTGAGGTACTATTATAGTTTTTATTAATATTTTCTATTAATTTTTGTTTAATATTTTCTTTTTTCTTTTAAATTTAATTAATGTTATAATTTTGTTGTTTTTTATTTATAATTGTAATAACATTTTATTTCAGTATTAGTTTTTGTTTTTTTTAGTACTAGTACTAAATGAAAATAAAGAATGTCTTTTTTTTTTTTAAGTTTACATAATTGTTATGAAATTTTCTTTCAGTTTTACAAATGTAGCCTTGGCATTAAAAATACATAATTTACATAAGTTTAAGTTTTTTTTATATTTTATGTTATTTTATTTAAGTTTATTTTAATTCAAGTAACAAAAGTATTTTTTTATTGTTTTTTATTGCTATTGTTTTATTGTTTTTAAAGTTGTTTTTAGTTTTAGTTATCTATAATAACCCTAATTTCTATTTCTCTGTATATGTCTCTATTCTTTTCTTTTCCATCTCTTCCATTCTGTCTCGTTTTGTGCGTTTAGCTCTGTATGATAGGGAATTGGAGGAGGAGGAGGAGGAAGAGGAAGACGTGGTTGGCAGTGAAGATGAGCCTGAGGTCCTCCGTTTGCCGGACTTGCTGTTCCGTCGCCCCCCTCAACTGCTGCATTACACCGCCGCTTTAAGCGGACCGTATGATGATGACACACACACTTACTACCCAGGACACCCACACAACCGAGAACAGAGAGAGGAGCTGACCATCATCAGCAAGAGTAGTAAGAGAAACTAGGAACAGTAAAATCAGAACTGTGACACAAACACACAGAAAAAGGAAAGGACACATAACTATATCTTGATCTCCGTGTATCAGTGTGTGAGGAGGGCTCATTCGGTGACGACTGCAGTGTGAGCTGTGAGGACTGTGCCAATGGAGGAGTGTGTCCGTTAGAGAAGGATCGCTGTGTGTGTGCGCCCGGCTGGACTGGGGTCACCTGTAATGACAGTGAGTGTGTTTATTCTCTACTAACATTGATCTCTGACCTGAACTAAAGCATTAAAGAAATACAGCTTCAATTTAAAGGGATAGTTAGTTCTGTCATCATTTACTCACCTTCAAGTTGTTCCAAAGCCGTATGAGTTTCTTTCTTCTGTTGAACACAAAAGAAGATATTTTGAAGAATGTTGGTAAACAGACATTAGATGGTAGCCATTGACTTCCATAGTATTTTTTTTTTTTTACATACTATGAAAGTCAATGGCTAAAATCAACTGATTGATTACCAACATTCTTCAAAATATCTTCTTTTGTGTTCAACAGAAGAAACATGCGTAGTGTAATCGACTCCTCCAACCGGATGGAATCTGCAAAAATCTTTCTACGTAATTCTGAATGCTCAAAATCTGCAGACTGGGTCTGACTTTCGCCAACTAACATTGAATCATCCAGACTGGAAATCAAGGTAAATATCTGGAAAAAAGTCATATAGTTGGAGTAAATTATATAGTAGGGCGTTAAATATAACATCAAAACATTTATTTCCATCAAGAGGTGCATACATTTTTGGTCAAGATCTTGTATTGACAGTGCAAGAGTCCAGAACTCTCCAGCACATCCCAAAGACTTTCACTGAATTTAAGGTCTGGACTCAGAGGTGCCGATTCATGTGTGAAAATGATTCTTCATGCTCCCTCCTAACCATTCTTTCACAATTTGAGCAAGATGAATCTTGACATTTTCATCCTGAAATATGGCTATGATGTGTCTTCCTACATGGTTGTTTAAGAAATGAAAAGCTACACACTCCATCAATTAGGTTTAGAAGAACTGTTGCAAAACATATAACCTGCTAGAAACATAATAATCACTGCAATAATGATCCAATCATAGACTCTTAAGCATTTGCCTATTTAAATCCAGCCATCAACTTTTTTGGGCTGGGCAATGTATGTTTACAAAAGAACCACATTCATAGATTACATGACAGAATATAAGACCTAAATTCAGTATATAATGAGTTACAGGTGCCATTTTTCCTGTTCTTCTTCTTCCCCGGTCTAGCTGATGTACAGCTCCCTGCTGTACTTACCCTTGCTTATACAGAAATCCCATCAATCCAATGAGCAGAGCAGTTCAATGACTCTAAGCAAAGTACTTCCTGTAGAGACACTGTAACTCAACTAAGTTATAACATAAATTGACAGCATGTTGGAGAGCCGCAGTCCTTAGAGCACCTCCAAACCCATCATTGTAAAGTCACAGGAGCGCGATTTGAATTTTCCATACCGTTTCATTTTTAATCCACCCTAAAGTCAACAGAAAGTACGGTGGCTGCTGTATATTTCTCGGCCCCTGGTTCCTCTGAGAACCCTAAACATGTATTTACTTATGCATTCTCTCTCTCTCTTTCTGTATTTCTTTTAGCTTGTGCTGAGGGCACATATGGTGTTCAGTGTAACAGTCTGTGTGTTTGTAAGAATGGGGGCCGCTGTGACCCAGTGACGGGGAAGTGCTTGTGTCCTCCAGGGGTCCAAGGTCTGCACTGTGAAAACGGTACAGCACACAAGCTTTATGTCTTGTCTTCACTTTTAACTGTGTTTTTTTAAACATCTTCCAATTCTCATGGCTTGTGATGTTTCTTCTTTCCTCTCTACTTGCAGTGTCATATTTCATTATTCATAAAAATATCTTTTTACTTTTGTAATGCTACCTTTTTCTGTCGACTCATGTTGACTTGTGTTGAAAAGAGAGGAATATAAGAAGAGGTATTTCTTTTTTTCCCTCTTTTCTTGTTTTTTCTGGGCTGCTGCTGGTTTGATAGTCTACACGGGTCTCAGTCCAATTACAACACAATATATGTCATTTTTAGAAGTAGAGAAACTGTTTTTTTCAAAGGCAATGTTTTTAGGTTAAAAAATGAGAGTGAATTTTCTTTGGGTCCTGAAACTTTTTGGAAAGAAGGTAATACTTTTATTCAGCAAGGACACATTAAATTGATCAAAAGCGACAGTAAAGACATTGAAAATGTTAAAATAGGATTTATTTTTTTAATAAATGCCGTTCTTTTGAGCTTTTTCTATTTATCAAAGAATTGCAGGTTTCACAAAAATACTAAGCAGTGGAGCTGTTAGAATAGCAGTTATTTTAAATTGTATTAATATTTTAATTTTACTGTTTTTACTGTATGTTTGATCAAATAAATGCAGCCTCGCTGAGCATAAGAGACTATAAAAAAATATGAAAACAAGAATACAATAATACCAGAATCTTTTTATCTACTTTGTTGGCTCCTTTATTATCAGTATGACCCAAAAAAAGTCACAAAAGTGTCTGCTAAATGAATAAATGTATTAATAAATGGCAAGCATGATCCCAGACTAGCTGGAGCCCTTGGGTTTAAGTTCCTTAAACTTTTCTTCTTCTCTGTTTGCCCTTGGCCTTTTCTGTCTTCATCACATCATCCATCAACTGCTTGTCTCTGAAATTCCTGTCTGATTAGAGCTGATGTAATGTGCTTTGTGGAAATCCAGAGGAACATTGTGGGATTTCACTGATGTACCGTGTGTGTGTGATGTCATCAGGTTGTCCGCAGGGTTTCTATGGGAGGTTCTGTCGGAGGAGGTGTAACTGCCCCAATAATGGACGCTGCCATCGTCTGTATGGGGGTTGCCTTTGCACACCCGGAAAATATGGCAAATTCTGCCACCTGCGTAAGTATTTATCATGCTAGGATAGTATGTTACAGTCAAAAATGGTTACTTATCTGCTTTCAGTTGTTTTGAGGTGTAGTAAAATAGTGTTTCTCTACATTAGCATGTCCCAAATGGACCCATGGTGCGGGTTGCTCGGAGGAATGCGAATGTTCGCAGGAAAACTCTCTCTCTTGCGACCCCCTGAAAGGCACCTGCATTTGTAAACCTGGCTACCATGGCGAACACTGCCTGGCAGGTAGGTGATGTTTCTACAGCATTAGAAACAGTTGTGTCAGACAGGTACATGGAGATATATGTCGTGTTCATGTATAGAATGTGCTGACGGTCTCTTTGGCGATGGCTGCCGTGAGCGATGTAACTGCTCTGACGGGGAGCCGTGTGACCCTAAAACCGGAGAGTGCCAGAAGATGTGCCCACCCGGATACCAAGGAGAGAAATGCCAGCTGGGTAAGACTCACAGTCACACAGCGATCTGCGTTCAGAAGGGAATACTGACCTATTACTTACTGTATACTGTATATGAACAGTTCGTACTCCTCCATTCAAAAGTTTGGGGTCAGATTTTGTTTATTTTGATTAAATTAATACTTTTATTCAGCAAGGATGCACTAAATTGATCAAAAAGTAACAGTAAAGACATTTATAATGCTACAGAAGATTTCTATTTCAAATAAAAGCTCTTTTGAACTTTATATGCATCAAAGAATCCTGAAAAAAAAGTATTAATCAGCACAACTGTTTTGAACGTTTATAAAAATAATAAATGTTTCCTGAGCAGCAAATCAGCATATTAGAGTGATTTCTGAAGGATCATGTGATACTGAAGACTGGAGTAATGATGCTGAAAATCCAGTTTTATCATCACAATTTAAAGTATATTAAAATAGAAAACTGTTATTTTAAATTGTAATATTTCACATTTTACTGTATTTTGACAACTTTTATTGTTCAAAGTATATGTATTGCAAACTACTCGTTTAAAAATGTATTTAGTGTGTTTAGAATACTGTATCCCACAATGCAATGCGGTTTAAGCTGAGTTTGAAATAGCATACCACAACTCTTACTACAACTCTTACTACAACTTTTATTACTTTACGTTTATTGGGCGCGTAAGAGTGTACGGGCCCAATAAACGTAAACTAATAACAGTTGCAATTTTAGAATCTCTTTATGAAGTTATGATTTCATCTGATAATTAAAGTAAAAATGCAAAATATTTTTTTTAAGACATGATAACTGGAAACTACTTACTGAATTAAAGACAGACACCCCAGTTCAATAGGGTAAAAAAAAAACCTAGAAGGATGTGACCATACTTCACCAGTTTTAAATATGCAAACAAGGCATTATCTAATTAAATATGCACTAATTTGCGACCATTTACAGATACAGAAATTGAATAGATTTACTGAGTGTATTTTAGATGTCTCTTTTTTATGTAAATCAGAAAGGGGCTGCTAACTTTTCAAATGGGACAATAATGGCTTTGCATCGCCCTCTAGTGATTGTCAGATGTCGGTGCACAGAACTTATTTAATGGCTCAGTTATTTTAATAGCTCAATAATGTCTGCATCAGAGATCAACTGTGAACAATCAATCATCAGACAATATGTCCCGTTTAAATCCCAAGGAGCAGATGCACTAAACACTCACACATGAAGACACACACTGACAGCTGTAAGTGGCAGTCATTTCATAGTGTCAATTCAGTTCAGCTCAGCCTCAGTAGCTTTGTATTAAAGAGTGAGTCACGGAATAAATGGTTTATGTAGCTAGATTTATGTTTTACATCTCCGTTATGTTATGAAAATGATATATTAACACACACACTGTGTGTGTGGATATAAATGGGGTTTCCCTCTGTTCACTGAAGAGAGAAACGAATGAATTTGGAAAGAGCGTCATGCTTTAATAACATATTTGAAGTGTCTGTTTTAGTTATGTCTTTCTTGATCACTTAACGACATACATGTTTTAGTCTTAATGGCTAAAACAGATCGTAGCTTGGTCTTAATGCTAAAACAGGCCCTTTTATCCCATCCTCAGGGGTGATTCTGGGTAATTGAAGTGAGGTTGAGGGAGAGCGCTTTACAGTTTCTAGGACAAGAAAAAGAGAGCGAGTGAATTCAGACAGTATAGACTACTTGACAGACAATCTTGTCCCTGTTGGAACTGTAATGCTAAGTGTTTCTGTTTGTCTATTAGCCTACCAAAGCTGTTTTTACTGAACAAACTAAATTTGCGGTTCTTTCTCTCTCTCAGTCTTGTTCTCAGAGTGTGAAGCTGGCTATAGGCCTACTGTAATAGTATATAATAGTATGACAATAATAAATAACATAAAAAAAGACTTTCAACAGGACAATAATAAAAATAGCCTACAAATTGCATTCTCAAACCTCAATTATGCATGTTTTGATTTGTTCACATTGATAACAAACATCCTCACTCTGTAGTGTGCGAGGCAGGTTTTTGGGGCGTAGGCTGTGCCAATGTGTGCCGGTGTGGCAGTAATGCAATAACCTGTGAGGCCAGCAGTGGGCGCTGTGTGTGTGAGGCTGGATACACTGGCGATCAGTGTGACAGGAGTAAGTCTGTTCTGTTGCTTTTTCATTCTCCTTCTCTCTCCTTGTTTCAGAGTCTTATTCTGGTATTTACACGTTGTGCCATATTTAAATGGTACAACATGTAAAAGTTCAGGTACAAATGTTAAATCTGAGGCTAATTAAGATGCAAATGCTGCCACCTTGTGTCAAAATAATAAAACTACATATACTACTCATACTAGTTCTATTTTTGGTATGCATAATGTGCACAGTATATAAAATTTAGGAAACAAATAGGTATTTCATAAACACAGGACCTACAATATTAGGCTAATGTAAAAAAGACTATGCGGTGTGTGAGATACTGTATCCCACAATGCAGTGGAGTTGATTTGACCTTTTGTGCATTGTGAAAGTAATTACAGATACAGCTTTCTATATTTTTAACATGATTTTTTTACTTCTCATTTGATCTGACTGCGAGAAGCTAAGACATTTCTACAGTCGTGGCCAAAAGTATTGGCAATGAAATACATTATGTTTCGCACAGTTTGCTGCTTCAGTATTTGTAGATTATTTGTTTACATTTCTATGGTATACTGGAAAACAATGATAAGCATTTCATAAGTTTTAAAGGCTTTCAAAGATTTGCAATATATGCAAAGAGTCGATATTTACAGTGTTGACCCTTCTTCAAAACCTCTGCAGTTCACTCACTCTGCTATGCTGGATTTCAGCTTCACATAACCAAACCCTGACTGATGGCGATCCGTTCTTCCCTTATTAGTGCTCAGAGTTGATCACAATTCGTGGACTTCTGTTTGCCCACTCGCATTTTAAGGATTGACCACGGGTTCTCTATGGCATTAAGATCCAGGGAGTTGACTGGCCACGGATCCAAAATGTAAATTTTCCAGATTTTCCAGATGTCCCAAACAGTCTGAAAGGGGCTTCATCAGAGAAAATAACTTTGCACTAGTCTTCTGTTGTCCAATCCTTGTACTTGTGCAGAATTTCAGTCTGTCCTTGATGTTTTTCTTGGAGAGAAGTGGCTTCTTTGCTGCCCTTCTTGACAGCAGGTCATTGTCCAAAAGTCTCACTGTACAGATTCACACACCCACTGCCGATATTGAGCAGCTCCGGTGTCATGATTCTCTATCTGACTCCTCAGGAAGAGACGGTCCTGGCTCTTGCTGGACAGTCTGTGACGTCCTGAGTCCTTCTTTCCTGCAGATGAACTTGATGATCTGATAAATGGTTCTTTCAGGTGCAATATTCTTTGCAGCAATTTCCTTGCATGTGAGGCCATTTCGATGCAAATCAATAGTGGCTGCATGTCTTTCGTTGGAGGAAACCAATGCTAACACAAGAACACAATGACGCACTTCTTCCCTCCTTTTATAAAAAATCAGCCTGCTCTTATAATCCAATCAGAATGATAGAGTGATTTTACCTGACTAGTACTCATTCACACACTTTCCCATGTGCTGATGATATGATTAGTGAAATGATGTTAGCTGGTCATTTTGTGTCAGGGCCAAAAACAGTAACATTTAGGGTTACAAATGGTAACAAGTAAAAATTGTATTACCTCTGATCACTCTACACCATAATCTAGAAACAATGTGAATCAACACCACAACAACTGAAGCAGCAAACTTTGTGAAACGCAAAACAGTAAATTCTGTTCATGTGTCCTGAATCTGTATTTCCTATGATGCTTCATCATCATCATCATCATCATCAGAGTGTCCTGAGGGCCAGTATGGAGCCGAGTGCAACCGAGTGTGTGAGTGTGAGAATGGTGCCGAATGTGACCACATCAGCGGAGCTTGTACCTGTACCGCCGGCTGGCTGGGATCACACTGTGAAAAGAGTGAGTAACAAACAAATGCATTCAAATTCAGAATGATTTACATATACATACCGCAAATATCACATTTATGTAATCAGCAGAGTTGTCAGTACAACGTTTTTGTCAATGCACATTATTTAGTATTTTCCTGGCCATTTATCTTTCTCCACCGTGAAGAGTGTTTTCATACCCCTAATGCACTGGGGCCTCTTCTTCACCAGGGAAACAGGAAGTCTCAATCAGTCTTGGAGGGCAACCCACCCATCATGCAATCTGAGTGTGTGTAAAAAGGAATGTTTTTGATTCCCGTTTTCTCATTGAAACGCTCACTCATCACACACAGTCAGGCAACTTTTTGTTTAGTTTGTTTGGTGTGTCATAATGACATCAATGCAGGAAACCGAAATCATATGTTTCAAAAAAATATCTGGTTAATAAGAGCTAGAAGCATGTAAGAAGGTTTTGTCCTCCATGACCTGTCGTATCTGCCTTCTAGTGGTTGATCTGAGCCACTGACAAAACATCTCCCAAACTTACACACACAGACACACCCTGCTGGATCCATGACAGCATCCTCTGCTTAATGAGACAGCCACATGCAGCTGGTGCACTTTATGAGGAAACCACAATGCACAGACATACACACAGTGCCAAACATAGACGCTAGACTCCTATCTTAACTACAAAAAAAAAAAAAAAAACTCTAGCAAAAACCCTGCACATGTAAAACACACACACACACGCATACAAGATGCATGGACAGGCATCTGGCTCATACCCATTTAACACCGCACAGCCCCCAGTTTTCAGCCTAGATTGCATGTGGTGAGATAAAAGATTATTGAATATTGGCATCTATTGAGTTGTCCTAGCGGACTGAAAGAAATAACACACCTAATTGTGCAACCAGTGTAGTCTATTTCAGGAACAAATGAGTTGGTTCTATTTGTAGTGAATCAAAAATATACAGTACAGCACAACCGGTGTAGTCTGATTCATGGACAAATGACTCTTTAAACCAGATCATCTAGTAACATCCTGTAGATGTTTTTTAAACTTATGATTTTAGTTTCCGTGCATTGAGGCCATTATAACACAAATGTGCAAATGTTGTTTGTGTGTTTTTGTGTTGCTCGACTGTGTGTGATGATGAGTGTTTCAATGAGCGAACAGGAATCAAATACATAGCACTACAAGTGTAGTCTGATTCACGAATGAGTGACTCTTATGAGCCGATCCTTTTTTAGAGAATAAAAAACATTTAGTGCAACCAGTGTAGTGTGATTCATGGACAAATTACTTTTAAATCAGTGTTTTTTTTATGGATCAAAAACAGGCAGCACAACGAATGTAGTCTGATTCACAAACAAATGACTCTTTTCAACCAGTTCTTTTTTAGTGAATCAAAAACTCTACAGCATAACCAGTGTCTTCCTAATCACAAAAAGTTTGTAGAGAAAGAAAGTAAGCCAAAATAACTTCTTGTATCCATTTGATGTGGTTGAGGGTGCAGCAAACTATCATTCACATGATAACCAGGGCCGACAGAACGGATCTAGATTCCGCACGGCAGGGGAAAAGAATAGTAAACCTGTCTAAAGTCAATTGAAGCCAACAAAGGAGATTTGGACGGGGCAAAACCAGGTCTTAGAGGACCATTAGCGTTCCATCTCCATCTGGATCAACTCAACCACCATTGATTTAGATGCATAAAAGCAGATTGTTTTAGTTTATAGTGGACTTTTACGTTCACAGATTTCATCTTTAATAAATCAGGGCCTGACTATAGAGATCAGGTCTCCGTATAGGCACCACAATTCCACCCGTCCGTCTTGGGACGTTTTCAACTCGGTAGTTCATCTGGATGTAGCCAGCAGTTCCACTCATGTTCCATAGGCTCAGATGTCTTCCATGCTTCTTAATCATACAACCCGACTGAATAACAGCAGACTCTCTCTCTCTCACACACACACACACACACACACACACGTGTGGCGGGTCTTTAGCGAGCTCTTGAGTGCTATCATCGGTCTCCATCTCTGAGGGCCTCAGCCGTGAAACACATTTTACCGGCTGCGGTCCGATCACAACCATCCGCTGCCGTTACACGCACACGCGCTTTACAAGATCTTATCAGGCTGATGGAAGACTAGACCGATCTCTTGTGATCGCGCGTGTCTGCGTGCCATATGCGCCGTCGCTGTATGGATGTCTGTCTACACTTGTGTTCATACAGAGAGATTGCGATTTCATTTGCTTGTGTGTGTGTGAATGAAAGACAGTAGAGTGGAGTCTGTACCAAGTTTTTGTCTCGTTGAATATTGTTTTAGAATAACTAAATGAACTAAGCCCCTATTTTATTTTATTTATTTAAAACTAAGAAAACTGCTTCTTTAAAACATTTGACACCATTTTAGCCAGGTGAACTAGATTTGATGTCTTATGGAGTTTTGCATGAAGTGTGAGGTGAAAAACCTGGGCTAAAAAAATCCAGTTTTTCACTTAACCATTCAATAAAATGGTTTGCAAATGCTTTTTCTTGTTAATTAGCATTCATGAATCAAACACTTTCATTTTATATTTGCTAAACCATTATTTTATTTTTATTTAAAAAAATAAATAAACAACCCTGGCCAAGAAAACTGCTTCAGTAAAGCATTAAACACCATTTTGGCCAGGTGCACTACATTTTGCATGGGAGTTTTGCATGAAGTGTGATGCAAACCCTGAGCTTTAGGTGAAAAAAAAGCAGTTCAGGGAATATTTGCACAGGAGGCATATTTCGGTACCCAGACAGTGAACCTGTGGGCTCAGCTGGTGTTCTAGTTTCCTCGAAATGTCTGTCTGTCTGTCTTCCTCACACACACGTTGACTTTGTTGTGGTGAGGATGTGCCGCACATGTGGCGAATGAGATCACGCAATCAATGCTGATGAGGGCAGTTCACACGCTGAGGTAATGAGACATGAAAAAGAGAGATGAGCAGGATGAAGGGATGAAAGATGGATAATTCCACGCGGATACTAGTAAAACAGTAACCTAATTATATTCGAATCAGAATTCTGACACTCTGTTGGCTCTCTGATGCCTCTGGGGGGTGATCTATGAGCATGACTTTCCAATGATGTACCACACATTATAACACACACACACACAGACGCTGCTGACTCAAATCTTCTCTCCTCCTTAGGATGTCCTGTTGGGTTTTACGGGGAGGACTGTGCGCAGATGTGCCAGTGCGGGAATGAGGCCCAGTGTCACCACATCACAGGCGCCTGCCGCTGCACCCCTGGCTGGGCACCGCCGCAATGCATTCTGGGTAAGCCGCCCACATCATTAAAACGGGGTGTGATTGGAGGCTCATCTCCGGCTGAACGCCGCATCCTCGCACAGAAATAACCCTACAATCGCTCACCCAAACACTGTTTATCAGCTCGCTGACACATTCGATGTAGTTTTTAAAGCATGTGTTTGTGTATGTGTGTGTGTGAATAAAGAGAGGGAAAGGTTAAATGCATCCATGTTTACTGTGGAAGGATGCTTTTTAGGAGTGTTCCGTTTGTGTGTCTGTCAGTGTTTTATTAGGGTAAGATGCTTTTTTAAGAGAGTTCTGCGGCACATTGGTTTAGTACCATCCGTCTTCTCATGCGATCTCCCGTCAGTAGTTTAATAGATCAGGGGCCCAATAAAGATTTATCTCTCTTTCTGTTTCACTCTCTCTCTCTTTTTAATGAAGTGAGGTTTGTGTTAAAGATCCCTCTCTCAGATGTTGCATTTTTACGTCTGGCTTTCCCATGACATGCTTTGCAGGGAAATCTCGCCTGTGATGAAACTTCTCTGGAGTCGAGTGATGTTATTAGTTAGCTTTGTGGTCCTCTTTTTTCAAAGGGTGCAAATCATTATTTAGATTTGCATCCACTTTTTCTCTTTTTTTTCTTTTTTTTTCGCAGTAGCAAAATCTCCTGCCATTTGTGTCTGCTAAAGCAAATGCGTTCAGGCCATATACAAACCCCTTACAGACATCAAATGAAGTGTTTAGAAATAGTGTAGATAGGTTTGTTATCTGGACACATAAGGGCTTTTTACACTTCACAGGTTCATATTTCCCCTTGGGTTACCTTATGTCACACTGTTCAACCCTGCTACACTTTATAATAATAACATTCATTTATAAGATGTATAATATAATTTCACTACCGGTCAAAGGTTTGTGGTTCATTTTTTTTGTTTTCTTTTATTCAGCAAAGGTCCAATGTTTTATGTTACAAATAAATGCTGTTATTTTGAACTTTCTTTTTTTATTTGAAATTTTCATTGATTTCTGAAGGATCATGTGACACTGAAGACTGGAGTAATGATGCTGAACATACAGCTTTGATCACAGGAATAAATTACATTTTAAAATATATTCAAATAGAAAACAGTTGTTTTAAATTGTAATAATATTTCACAATATTACTGTTTTTACTGTATTTTTGATTAAATAAATTCAGCCTTGGTGAGCATTAGATAATAAATCTTACCAATCCCAAACTTTTGAACGGTAGTGTATTAGTAGCTGATTTACAATCAAATGTGAATATGAATGAAAATGAATAAATGACCGTTTTAATTTCACATAAATCAACATAGCCTACTAAAAGTTCACATTTGCTTTATTTGTAACATCTAGCGTAGATCATCTTCAGTTTCTTCACTAAAAATAAATGCATGTGTGAGTGAATGAAGACAAACATTTTTGCGTTTTGCAAAGTACTGCATATTTAGATTAGTAAAAATCTGATTTGTTTAATATATGTGTTTGTGTTGTAGCTTGTCCAGCGGGTATATTTGGTACCAACTGCAGTCAATCATGTGACTGCCACAACGGAGGGTCATGTGACCCAGTGAGCGGCCAGTGCCGGTGCACACCTGGGTGGACAGGAACCAGCTGCCAACAGAGTGAGTTAAAACACGTTTTATGGGTACTTTCCATAGACATGATGATTTATATGCTGTACAAGCTATATATTCTATCCCCGAACCCTAAACACAACCTTCACAGAAAACTTTCTACATTTTTCCTCATGGTCAAAAATGACTGGTATTACTATCTATTTGGTCCCCATTGTCAGGAATACAAGGACCACACGTACTTACACACACTAACATGTAAAACACGTATGTACTCATATTTAATGTAGTATTATTATTGAATGTACACAAATAGACAGTCAACAAACAAACACAAAAAACACATTCACACATGCTTCAACACCCAAAGACCCTATATACTCATAAACACATCTGTCTTTCTCTCTCTCACAGACTCACTCAGTGCGCTTTATTTGGCTGTAGTTAGTAAGATGTAAGTGATTATAGTGATTTATAGTGAGGAGTTTGTAAGCACTGATAGCCGCGATTCACATGTCATCACACAAATTACTGTATTCTGTCTCCATTACACACTGGAATGTTCACATGGGTGAACGCGGGCCGCTCACTCCACAATCCATCTGCTTTCTCTCTCACCGTCTGCGTGTTGTGTGCATAGCCTGTGCATCTGGATGGTTTGGTAGGAACTGTGAGCAAAGATGCATCTGTCCTGTGGGCATGGCCTGTGATCATGTGACAGGCAGATGTGGATGTCCTGCAGGGTACACTGGGAACAGCTGTGAGACGAGTAAGACTCTATTTCATATATTACACTGATTCTTAAGACAGTTTTTAAAATAGCAACACATTCTACCTCTAAATCTCCCTGTAAGATTATAACTCAGTACTTCAAATATATTAAACAGTCTCTTATGCTCATCAAGGCTGCATTTATTTGATAAAAATACAGTAAAAACAGCAATATTGTAAAATGTTATAGTAATATAAAATAACTGTTTTCTATTTGAATATATTTTAAAATCTAATTTATTCCTGTGATCAAAGCTGTATTTTCAGTTTTCAAATCTATACTCCAGTCTCCAGTGTCACATGATCCTTCAGAAATCACTCTAATATGCTGATTTGCTGCTCAAGAAGCATTTATTATTATCATCATGAAAGTTAAAACCAGTTGTGCTTAATATTTTAGTATTTTTTCTATATTACACTTAGTCCTCATATAGTATATATAATGCAATTGTGCTTATTTACTGTATATTTTCTGTCAAAATTGGTAAAGAATTTGTTTGTGTGTTTTAGATAATTTCTCTCAATTCAAGTAGGTCTTCAAACTGTAGCAAAAGAAATGTCTGCTGTATTTAATACACGATTTTAGGTGTAAATCTAAAATTATATTGTAGATTCAGTTAATTCATTAGTGCTAGATTATAATAGATGAAAATGTTGCCTGTTTTGTTGAGGGACTGAAGAATCAATGATCTGTCCATTTATACATCCATTCATATGACCAGCTTAATCCAAACGAAGGGAGGAAAAGACAGACATCCATTTTTAATTTAAGATTTTTTTTTTAAATTTACAGCAACATTTTGTTGCATTCAAAACTACGCTAAACAAACCTACAAACCGCCCCACACAAACTTGGACCTCTTATTACACACGCTGGGGTTTTGCTCCCCGACTCTCTTTCAACACCCTCCATTTCTCTCACTCTCTCTTTCTCTCTCTCTCTGTGGATGTGAGACATCTGATAAAGGTTAGCGCTGAGCGGCCAACTCAAACAGCAGGCTTTGTTTTGTCTGTGTAAGGATAAGAAGTCTGGAACAGACATGAACACACACACACACACACACACACACTGCAGTAGACACGGCTAATGACAACAGTCTAATTATTCTCTTTAGTCTGGAGTCTGAGCTTATCTCTTACACATGCCGGTGGGGTGAACACACACATGCACGCGCACACACACACACACACATATATAGATGGTCATACACAGATCTGTATTAGTCTTGACAATAAGGATCATCTGATGGCCTGAGGCCAGTGTGAGAGACTTTCAGGCCAGTTGCCAGACCTGTCTTTTGTCAGGCCAGTGTGTTCAGCACGTTATGTGTGCCATGTATATACTGTACACTATATTATGCAAATATGATAAATAGTACACCATTTTTTTGGCTGTGTATAATAACATAACATTGTTATATATATACAGTATCAGATAATAAATTTATAAGATCTAAACCACTCATCCGACTTGGTGGAAAACATCCTTACTGTTCAGCCCTGAATATAGATATTTAAATATATGTATTTCCATATATTCATGTTTCAGTGTGTGTGATATGCATTTGTGTGGCAAATTCTATGTAATGGACGCACACCCACAAACACAATCATAAGCCCTGTCTTCTGTCAGATACCCTAGACGTATGTGAATGTGTATAAATGTAAGCATGTTTGAATGACGTTACGTGAAATGTCTAGCCTCCCCTTCATATCATATCATATCATATCTCCTTCCTGTCTGAGGCCTGATGCCTTTTCGGGAATGTGTCTAGACATCTGGACATTTCTGTGGAAAACTCACACATGCTCTTAAAGTCATCATCCCTGTATGTATTGTGTCAGGTTCTAATGTTCCCTCTTTCTCAGTGTGTCCTCAGGGCAGGTTCGGCCTGAACTGTTCTCAAGTGTGCACTTGTTCTGGAGATCAGTACAGCTGTCATCGCGTCACGGGGAAATGCAGCTGTCTACCTGGATACTATGGCAACCGCTGTCATCTCAGTACGACGTATTCCTCAAATCTCTTCTGTTTGACCTAATAAAGTTGTTTTCATAGTTGTTCAACCAAACCAACAGCTCATCTACAAGCTGAGCTAATAGAAAATGGTTATATAATCATACCATACAAACGTTTGGGGTCAGAAATATTTTTTTCTTTGTGAGCAATGAATACTTTTATTCAGCAATGTCACATTAAATGAATCAAAAGTGACAGTAAATAATTTTTAAGAATAATGTTACAAAAGATTTCTTCTGACCCCAATGTTTCTGTATGTTATTGTGTTTTATAAGTGTGCTAAAATCTACCTGTATTTAGTGTAGAAAACCTATAAATTCCAGGGTGCTTTAGAAGAACTCAACTAAACGAAACATGTTTAGGTAGCATAAATGACAACTACTAGCGGACTGTGTATATCAAAGATACACTCCCGTGTTTTCTTTCCTGCTCCTCACAGGGTGTCGAGAGGGCACCTACGGCCCCTACTGTAAGAAGAGGTGCAGATGTGCCAACGGAGGCCGATGTGACTTCAGGACAGGCTCTTGCATCTGCCAGCCAGGGTACTTGGGACCCAACTGCAGCACCAGTAAGAACCTGATGCTCAATCGATGGCCCGAGTGACTGTGGTTAATCATTGGTCTATGCTGAGACCGCTCTGTTGCATTCTGCATTTCTAGATAATATTTTCTGTCTTTCTCTCTCAGGTTGTCCCAGAGGTCGCTACGGGAGAGACTGTGCTCAGGTGTGTTTGTGTGGCGAGAGAGGACAGTGCCACCCAGAGACTGGGAGGTGTAACTGTGCCTCTGGAAGAACAGGACCGTCCTGCGAACAAGGTATATGTCTCTGTGGATAGCAGTGTTATTTTAATGTTATTTATTTATTATTATAGTATTTATAATTTTTTTAATGAGCTTTTATTTTTATATTTTCATTTCAGTTTAAGTTTTAGTAATTTTTCATTTTTATTCATTTTATTTAATATTTCTGTTAATCTTTCATTTATTTTTTATTATTTTATTTTTATCTAATATTTTTTTTTTTATTTCAGATTTATTTCAAATAACACATTTAAAAAAAAAATGTTTAACAGCAAAACTTGTTTTTTCCCCTTTTATTCTTCCTCGTATTTTATCTTCACCACTTATCTCGCCAACTTCTCCAACCTTTCAGTCATTAATTTCTTCTTTTTTCCTGTCTTCACCCATCCATGATCCCTCCCTCCCAAACCTACAACATTCACATCTCGTTAGAACGTGAAAGCCGTTAGTGTTATGATGACTTCATAAGCAAAACAACACCGAAATATATCGCGTCTCACAGTCTTGCACTTATAAGCACTATTTGTCCTCCTGATTTTCTCCCAGGGCTTATTTACAATATTTAGTTAACAAATTTCTCCAGTTTCCTGCGTGAGGGAATTTGATCGCAGCACCCCTTTTCCTGAAGAACAGAAGCGAGAGATCAGATTCCTAATCTTCGTGTTTCATCACTCATCAGCTGGAATGAAACGGGACTTTCCAGGAGGGATTTTCTTAGCCTCCTTGAAAACGCCGGCTCAGAACATCTCGCAGACGTGCCACTGCTTACGTTCGCCATGTTTAATGTTTACAGATGAGATGACTATAAGTAGCTGGTTCTCTATGTTCCGTGTCGGCGGATCTGCTGGCGAGGAAACAAATAAATAAGCAAGCGAATCAAAGCGATCGGCTTATTGTTTTCCCAATCTAAATTACCCAAAGAAACATGATTGCTCTTTAGCTGCGCTGCCAAATCAGACCCACTTTACCATTGCACTAATGATCTAGAGCTTAAGTAAACTTGTGTGTGGCGTGTGTGTGTGTTTGTGCACGTGTGTGTGGCTGTTTGTAATCGAGCGATTGCATGTGTGGCTAGTTTTTTAAATGCATTTTGAGGGATGAGAGGGCCTGGGCTAATTGTAGTAATTGAGAAATTCAGAGTTTATTTGAAAATAATGCCATCTGTGCTCTTGTTGTTACTGGAAGTTTCCATCTGGACCAGGACATAGTTAATAGATACAAAGATGGGGTGTTTTGCTTAAGGGAAAGTCTGCCTAAATATTTGTCCTGGTATAGTACAGTATAACAATGAACACACACACACACTGACAGAAAGAACAATACTATCTAAATGACTAATTGGATGAAAAGTTAAAACTATTAGCATAACATCTTCATCTGATTTCATACATTGATTTAGATGGAATTTGGGTTCTCAGGAAGAGTTTCTGATGTCTGGATGTGGCATATGTGATATAATGTTATGTATATATACAGTATGATTAATAGAAGAAAGTAAAGGTACACTGTTACTTTTGGCCCTCTGGCGGTTAAAAAACAAAACTGCGTAAGATTTTGCGTAAGAATATTGTTTTGGTTGTGCTTGACTGTGCTGTGCTGATAGTATTGTTCTTGATGAACATGGTTATCTTGCATCTCTAAAACATTCACTACTAGTACTAGGCTTAAGAGATATAATCAGTTTAGATGGAAAGCATCTCAAGCTGACTAGCTGAAGATGTTACTGCAGCTTTACCCATTAATAGACACGGTACGAACTATTTACGGATATGAGGAGACTCATGTGCACAATTTCCCGTGAAAACCATCTTAGCGGGTCTAAAATATAAACACTTATAACAGGCTTACCACAGTGAATTAAGGTAGGACAAAGAAGATTGATCGTGGATTGATTCGTTATTTACATTTAGTTCATTTAGAAAAAGTTACATTTAAATAATTCTTAAATGGTAGTGAACTCCTGTGAAACACAAATGTACCATCCTCAATCGAATAGGGCTTTTGTTGACTAATGAACATGAATTGTCGACGAATGTACTTTTGTTTTCCTTTGCTGTACAAGAATAAGTATGGTTTCAGGCTAAAATGAGATATACAGTGGAAATTAAGTGTTGACAGTATAATTTAGTGCTGGATGAGGATTAATCAGTGCTTGGTAAACCATCCTCATGTGGTTCAAATTGAAGACAGATCCATGCAAATTGCTGAAAAACAGAGTTTTCAGATATGGTCAAGACATCCTGTGTAATGTGCTGCTACATAATGAAACAAAACAACACTTTTATCTCCTATTTATGCACAGCTTTTTAGTATTTGTGTTTGCTGTTAAATGTGGAATTGTCCTGGATGCAGCATGTCCTAGGGGGCGCTATGGAGTGCAGTGTCGGAATTTCTGTACATGTGCGAACGGAGGAGTGTGTGAACCTGTGAAGGGGATGTGTAGATGTGGGCTGGGCTGGACCGGACAACACTGTGAAAAAGGTGAACAAGCACACAAATACACAAAACAATGTGATTAGTTAGTACCACATAGAAACATAGTGTCGGCCCAGATCTGGTACACGTGGAATCAACACATACCAGATGTGGGCCGTATCTGGGCCGACACTATGTTGCTGTCTGGGCATGGAATTGCATCCTAACATAACCAGGAATAAAATAAACACTTTAAAGTTTGCAATTACACTTGTAATTCAGAATGCATTCAGAATAAATACTTTTGTGTGCATGTGATAGCTTGTGTCCCAGGTCACTATGGTGTGAACTGTGAGCAAGAGTGTGTGTGTCAGAATAACGGAACATGTGATCGCTTTACGGGATGCTGCTCCTGCCCGTCTGGATACTACGGTTCCGCCTGCCAACACAGTGAGTGATGGACTTATCATCTTTACTGTTAGAATGAATCATGTTTGCTGCATTTCTGAGCAAGAAATATATGAAATGGTTCCATATTCCAGGATGCCCTGCTGGCTTTTTTGGCAAGCTCTGTGCACAGTCATGTGACTGCAAACATGGACACCTGTGTGATCATGTGACCGGACAATGCGTGTGTTTGCCAGGTTACCATGGCGAACAGTGTGAAAAACGTAAGTCATCTCAGCTTTTAAGACATCTACATAATCAGCATGAAATTTAATATGGGTACTTCATCTGAGAATTCATGACTTACTTTCTTTAGTGGAACAAAAAGTGAATTTTGTTAAGAAAGTAGTATATTCTCAATATGATCAAAGTGAATAAGGGCACTCAAGCACCAAGATAATAAAAAAGCACTATTACAATATCATACAACTATATCCCAAGTCGTGTAAACCCATACAATATAGATGGCGAACAGACATCAGTTATGTCATCATTCAGTGAAAAACTTGGAAAAAAAGCTCTTTTTGCACGTTCATGAGTCTATTTTGTCTATATAACTTATGAATAAATATGGTTCTTTACAATTTGACAAAAGCAGCATTGGTTCTCTGTTTTGCTGTGTGCACATACTGTATGTGCAGTTTGATGGTCTCTCTGACTGTGTGTTTGTATGACAGGTTGTGACGCTGGGCGTTTTGGGCATGATTGTGCAGAACTCTGTGAGTGTGATGGGGCGCCCTGTGATCCGACCACTGGACAGTGTCTCTGTCCACCGGGAAAGACAGGAGAACACTGCGAGAAAGGTACACTCAAACATCTTACGCACACTCTCACAAACCTTACATCAAACTTCAACCTTCATCTTCTCTCTCTCAGTTTGTGACAGCAGGTTTTATGGTCCAGGCTGTTCTTTCCTGTGTCAGTGTGCACACGGAGGCCAGTGTGACCAGCGCACGGGTCACTGCTCATGTCCTCTCACCTGGCTGGGACCCACCTGTGAGGAAGGTGAGGGTGTGTATGTGTGTGTGGGATTACTTAGCTATACTTTGGGAATACAATTGTCCCCAGAAGTTTGCAAAATCTGATCAAATATCTAGTATAAAAATGAGGGCTGTTGATTTGACATGTTAAGTAATAATATATATTATTATTATTATTATATAAATTAGTCCACTTGTAACAGTAGAAGTGTATGGCATGTCTTTATTTAGTTAATGGAGAACTCCGGCGCAAAATGAACCTTTGGTCTAATTACACATTGTTACCTAGTCAACCGTTATCTGAGATTTGTTTTCATGATTATCTAATGTAAATAGTTTTATCTCTAAAAACAGTTTAGCCTATAAAGCTAGTATAACGCTAGTATATTGGGCATGGAGTAATGACAAATAAAAATCGCTTGTTAATACCACTAACAAGGCTCAAAATAGCCCCACACTAACACGGTAGCATAATGAGGGTCCCTACCTTCAAACCGAAGCTTTGAGAACTTTGTCAGTGTCCAGACAGTTTAATAAGAAGATATTTTAAACATACAGTCAACTTCGCGTATACAGGCAGAAGCCATCTTTGAAAAACAGTCTCTACCAGTTGATCTACGAACGCAGTGGCGTAACTATCGGTAAGCAGGGTACGCGGTTGCTTACGGGCCCGGACCAATCAGGGGCCCGCTTGACTGGAAGATATTGATTGACAGCCGGGGCCCCCTATCGCATATTACTACTTTTAGTTTGATCGCATTTTACTTTATCACGATTTTGTTTTAAATAAATAATGACAACAACATATTTTACAGATCATTAAATACATGTGTGAAACGAACAATCATGGATTTTGGTGTAATTTGTTTTGAGCTGGGACTGGGGAATCCCCGGGTCGGCTGTTTAACGTTACACGCGCGCGCCACTTCATGCGTTTTCTCAGATCGGATAGCTACTGATTTATCAAAACGATTCCATTTACAGCTGGTCACATAAATGTGTTTTTGCAAAACAGATATAAATCCGATCTTCAATTTCCGCGCTATATGCAGATTTAATAGAGTTCAGGTCACCGAAAGCAACAGATAAGCTGCATTTTATTGATCATCAGCTAAAATTTCTAAATCGAAGACCGCAATTAGAGAGAGCGGCAACAGTACTGGTAAGATCATTTCGTTTCTTAACTTTTAATGAAGATGATTGTGTGTTAAGCGAGCGTCTGCGACTTACTTTCACTCTGATTTGCGATAGTTTGTGCGTTGGCTTGATAGATGCTCATCTGCGGTGATGCGTGTTGTTGCAGAAGCGTCGTCATATCTGACTATGACATATAGCCTATAACACGCTCTCACACGTTTATTTTTTTTAGCATTTTTAGAGGAGTAAAATTGACATATGTGGTTTCAACAACCAGATGCATTTACACTTGTCCAGTTTCGTCTCGAATGCGGCCCAGACCACCTCCTGAAGTGGTTTGAGCGACCGGATTCAAATCCGTCTCGAATGCGTTTCGAAGGGAATTTACACCTGGTCTTTTCACGATCGGATAGCTATACGATCACAGAAAAAGCATGAAGTGGCCAGGTGTAAACAGCTCCTTGCAGGGGCGTAGAATTTAGTAGGGAGGCTAGGGACATGTCCCTACCAATATCCAGTGAAACTGATATATCCCTAGCAATAATTTCGATCAAAACTTAAAATATATGTATACATTGATGTCCCCGTCCCCACCAATTTCAAAATCAAACCTACGCCACTGCATTGCATGCAAAAGCCTACTCGTGGACATTGCGTCATCACGTGTTGTAGTAGGGGGCCCGCCTTGATAATCCTGCATAAGGGCCCGGTGTTGGCTCGTTACGCCACTGTACGAACCCGATCCAAGTGCGCTGGTGAGAATGTGAACGAGCTATAAGTTGTGATAAGGTGAGCGCGAACAGCAGGCTTGGATCGGCGTTCGTAGATCGACTGGTAGAGACTGTATTTCAAAGATGGCTTCTGCCTGTATACGCGAAGTTGACTGTATGTATAAAATATCTTCTTATTAAACTGTCTGGACACTGACAAAGTTCTCAAAGCTTCGGTTTGAAGGTAGGGACCCTCATTATGCTACCGTGTTAGTGTGGGGCTATTTTGAGCCTTGTTAGTGGTATTAACAAGCGATTTTTATTTGTCATTACACTATGCCCAATATACTAGCGTTATACTAGCTTTATAGGCTAAACTGTTTTTAGAGATAAAACTATTTACATTCGATAATCATGAAAACAAATCTCAGATAACGGTTGACTAGGTAACAATGTGTAATTAGACCAAAGGTTCATTTTGCGCCGGAGTTCTCCTTTAAGTACACGTGTGTGTGCGAGTCAGCTGTATGGTCTTTCTCTTTCTTTTATCCCTCACCATCTCAGCATCTTTCTTTCCCTGAATTCGACTTTTCTCTTTATTCCTGTCAGTCACGACACAAACCTGACCGTTTCTGAAAGCGTGTGTGACAACGTGTGTGTCAGCCTCAGTTTGATAGACCCCTGAGCTGTTAAGGGCCTCCTGTCTGTGTAACGGCGCCTCTCTCTGACAGTTATTTTAAGTGAATCACAGCAGGACTTTTCACAGTGTGTGTGTGTGTGTGTGAGAGAGAGATTTGTGAATGAGTGTATGTAAGTTCATGAATGTATGACTGTGTGTGTGTGTAAACCTCTAAACCTGTACATCCCCTAAAGATACTTTTCACAACTTATTTTTGAGACTGTTAGGATATGTTCTCATCTTCCTCATAACTTTTCTTTTTGTTTATTGTACTTATTTTATATTATAAAACATATATATTTTATGGAGGACTTTAGTCGAACTTCATGTTCTGTGATCAATCAGCCAGTGGGGATAAAATGGCAACCACCTCTTTAGCATATTTGAGGAGGAAATATCAGTGAAAATTCTGAAATAAATAAATATGTTATGAAAAAAATAATAATAAATACTGTACATCAATATACAAATATATAAATAAAACTAATATATTAATATTATTACTAATTTAATGAATACATTAGTAAATTAATAAATAAATTTGACTAAATTGCATGAAAGTTAAAATACAACTTGTATTTATTTCTGCATTTGTTTATTTATGTACAGTACATATTTATTATTCAAAATTATTTAATGGAGTATAAATATGTATTTATCATTGACATTTCCTCATGTATTGATTTATTTCGTGCAGTATACATATTTATTTATTTATTTGTCATTCACATTTTTTCATTGCAACTATGACTACGACACTTGGAATTTAAAGAGTGTGTGAATCTTAAAATGGGGTACATAAAAGAATATGGCATATCCTCTTATTACCTAAAATAATATACCAACAATGATAGAAAAGAAATCAAAAGCATTCAGTACAGATGTGGCAATAATCACTTTCTGTCTTTCTCTCAGGTGCTTCTATAGATCATGTGTCCTCTCGCGTACAGAAGAGGCGACGGCGTGTTTCACACTCCTAGTCCACAAGCACACACACTCTCCTCTGAGATCCCACCAGAAGGCGAGTGGCATGGGTGAATGAGTGTGTGAGGATCTATGTGACTTGTTATTATTGTGTGTTTTCCCCCAGACGAGCAAGCCACAGGAGAATTAGTACGAGGAAGCAATGCAGGAAAACACAGTCACACACAAACATCCCTTCTGGATGCACACAAGACCACTGACAGACTGTCAATGATTGTGTGTGTGTATGAGTGTCTTTGGAGAAGGGACACATTGTGGCTATGAACTAGTGTTTTAATGGGAATATCACACACACAATGGTGGACTAGTTTGATGCGACTTAAAAATGCTTGTTTTTTGAGCTCTGTGTGTGTATACACTCGCTAAGTCCCACATCAGACAGTCAAGCCACACCATCCGATCGGCCAAACGCCCACCGAGCCACAAACCCAGACCAAACTTCTCTATTACGGGATCAGAGTGAAGCCTCAACCGCTCATTTCTATAGTACATACCACAAATACACCACTAAAGTGGCACATCAGAATACAGCAACACTCAATGGGATTACAGCCTTCCATACATACCATACACAGTCTAAAATTGACCTTGTAAATGTACACCAACTCTAAATTTAAAGTTTTTTTTATGACATTGTCTATAAAATCCTCTTTTATGGTACTTTTATGTTGTATTTTTAAAGTAATATGTAGCATGAATCGGGAACATTTCTGCTATAGATATCCTTTTCAAATCCATCTGGTTGGCTCCTGTGAGTGTGATGCATGTCCTGCGATGTGATTCCTGCGACAGCCTGACTGTAAATATTCACAGCATTGTCACCCATCATCGTGCCATCTGAGGTAAATTGTTAAAGCGGAGCTGTCCGACAGGATTTAGACACAATCTGATCCTTGTAAACCGAACGGACAGTTTCTCCGAAAGACGTCTTACATGCCAAACAAGTCTAATCTTTATAAATTACGGTTCTTAGCGCTCACTCAACAGTCTTTTACTGTAAAGAAAATGCTGTAAAAAGTTTTGTTCCTCGGTTCTGTCTTTTTTCCTCTCAGGATGTTATCAGATTTTGCTCTATTGGTTCTTAAACTTTGAATTAAATATGTTTGTACAGAAAATGTGTGTTGTTTTAACTATACTGTAAAGCTTTACACTGTAAAAATCATTTTCTTACTCTGTATTTGTGTCCTGTTCGGCAGTAAATATCCACACATTCTTAATTCAAGATAGATTTACTTGAAAAGCAAAAAGAAGTGAGTTTTAGGTTAAAACTAAAAATATGCCAGTGGGGTGCTGAAAAATTATATTGTTTCCCTTTGAATTAAGTTTATTTTCCTTACCCCATTAGCAGATTTTTTCCTTGGTTTAAGCATAAACTCACTTATTTTTTTAATTCATTTTTGCTTCTCAAGTAAATGTATTTTGTATAGATATAGAAAGATCTAAACATCAGTGTCAAGCGCGCACATGCTATTATTTTTGATCACCCAAGTGAAACGTTGTTTGTAGGACAAGGATATGTAGCTAGTGGGACATTGTGGATAGCATGTTCCTCTGCACCTCTCAGATGGGAGGGTCAAACGTATCAGAGGTCACCATACACCTGTCAGCCCACCTGAGTGGAACAGGCCCACTACATGCGTGTGTGTGTTTGTCTCTGTCACTGGCACCATCGCTGTAGCATTTCTCAAGTGCAGCGGACCGTCACTGCAGGTGGGAGAGCCAGGCGAGGACCCCTACGCCCTGACGCACGCTGCCCGGCGTGAGTGATGGAAGCTCGGGGGCTGTCGGTGGACGGAGCCCTTGAGTCTGATGGATGGGACGGGGCTCCGCTGGCCGCACCGTGTTGTGACAGCCTACAGATGTTCTCCAATAATGTTTATCAGCCCGAGCCTCCAGCAATGGATGACACACACCTGTTTCCAGTCAAACAGGGCTCTAGAGGCCATCCATCCACACACACACACACCTGAGTCCAGTCAAACAGATCGCCGTAGCCCATCTATTCACGGTCTGGGTGGCCATGATACTGTACACCAGCTTTGATCAGCGGACGGGTGGCACATAAGGACAATCGACTGGACAAAGGTCCATCTTGTCTGTCAGGGTCACTAGAGCCATACGGCACAAAGCCAGCAGACTTCTTATTTAGCTGTTGCTTATTGCATCTTCACAGTTTTGTAGTCTTGGGCGAAATGTTGAAGGAGGCGAATGCAATTTTGCTGGGACGGCGTTAAGATGCATTTAGCTTTACTGCCCTGGCCTCGGTCCTTGCAGTTACCAATCTGTGTGTTCAATAAAAAGTATAATTAAACTGAGGCATGCAGATAAATATGAACTGCGATTAAAATATCTTCTTAAAATGACTGTCTTGCAAAGGAAAGAATTGGCGCCGGTGGTTTGTTAGACACGGCCAGGCATAAAACATGCCCTATGTGTCAGTTTTATCACTGTTCGTTTTGATGATATTTTAAACAAGTTTTTTTTTGTGCATGGACGTTATACAATTACACAAGCCAGGCTTGTGACACAGATAATAAGCAAAGACAAGTTTTGCGTTTTGAAAGATGGCCAGATCAGTGGTTTTGTGATGAAAGAACCCATTGAAGAGGTCAGATCAGATGCGATCTGACGGGAACTTTAGCACGGAAATGACGCGTGTCAGCGAAGCGACGCTATCGCCACGCTGTGTTTTTGCACCGAAGAGATTAGGCTCTTCTCTTTCTGCGCTTGCCCCGTTCCCGGAGGACCGTGACTTTTTGAACCGGCGATAAAACTGAAGAGAGACCGAGGGAAATCAACTCAATGGGGTCTCGCACCATTTGGGCCACTTGTTGGACTGAAACAACAAATCCTTAAATGCCAAAGAGCTGTTCTGGAGATGAGAATCAGCAAACTCCCACACTTACCCGTCTGTGAACGCATCTCAGAGGGTGTAAAAACTTCATCATCGGTTTGTGTACTTGTTGCACTTTGTTTATATTAATCTTTTCGACACTTGAGGAATGGACCTTTTTTGGGCTGGACAGCACCCCTCCCCCCTCCCTATATTCAGGCCTACAGTAGGCCTACAATTTAATGAAGGTTGGCGGGACTACTAACTTAGACTATCCATCACAGCCTCGTTTTCATTCGCGAAAATTTTTAAATTGTGTCAGCGTGCAAAAACTGCTAAACTGAGCGTTACTGAATTTAGGATTTTAAATACTGGAACCGAGTAATTTCCATAATGTTCTGTTTGCGCTTTTTAGAACGCCATGTGATTCGATTTCTGATTCGGTTGTTTTAGTGATTTTTTAAATTTATTTATTTATTTTTATTAAGGCAAGGCAATATAGTACGTGGAAACAGAAAACAAACAATACAAGTGTACAGTAGGCTACACACAGAAACAAATGTGTAGCCATAATATTTTTAAACCAGGAACAGGATATGCTGTAGGCCTAGGCCAGGCTAGTCCGAATCGCGAATGAATTATCTTGAGCCTGTTCTTTTTAATGAGTCAAATTTAATGAGCCAAATAACTCACTTAAGAAGTCCGAGTCACTGAACCGAGATTGTTGCTTTCGTCATGTCCGACGATGACTGTTAGCCTATGTTGTAGGCTAGCCTACTTAAAGGGTTAGTTCACGCAAAAATGAAAATTATGTCATTAATAACTCGCCCTCATGTCGTTCCAAGCCCGTAAGACCACCGTTCATCTTCGGAACACAGTTTAAGATATTTTAGATTTAGTCCGAGAGTTTCCTGTCCCTCCATTGAAAATGTATGTACGGTATGCTGTCCTTGTTCAGAAAGGAAATACAGACGTCATCAAAGTAGTCCATGTGACATCAGTGGGTTAGTCAGAATGTTTTGAAGCATCGAAAATACATTTTGGTCCAAAAATAACAAAAACTATGACTTTATTCAGCATTGTATTCTCTTCCGGTTCTGTTGTCAATCCGCGTTCAGTGACGCTGATGACGTGTAATCCGGTGCGCCCGAGCTTCGTTTACAGTCTGAGGGAGACGAACAAAACAACCTTCGCAAACATGTCTTAGGATTTCGACACAGAGGAAGACATGCATTTTTTTGCCCAGCCATATTTATCTGCACCAGAGACACACGTCAGCAGCGTCTTACGTCATCAGCGTCATCAGCGTCACTGCGGACTCGTGAATGCGGATTGACAACAGAACCGGAAGAGAATACAATGCTGAATAAAGTCGTAGTTTTTGTTATTTTTGGACCAAAATGTATTTTCGATGCTTCAAAACATTCTAACTAACCCACTGATGTCACATGGACTACTTTGATGACGTCTGTATTTCCTTTCTGGACAAGGACAGTATACCGTACATACATTTTCAATGGAGGGACAGAAAGCTCTCGGACTAAATCTAAAATATCTTAAACTGTGTTCCGAAGATGAACGGAGGTCTACGGGCTTGGAACGACATGAGGGTGAGTCATTAATGACATGTCATTTTTGGGTGAACCAACCCTTTAAGAATCTTTAGACTTTAATCAGTGTTACTGGGTGGTTCATGCATGCCTGTCAGTGATAGGCCAATATTTTTCATTAAAAAATAATAATAATGTGAGCATTTTTTTTGTTCATTTAATATTTTATTTAACACGTAGTTCCCAAAGGTAGGCCTATGTGAAAAGTAAAAAATATGTGTAGCCTAAACACTTTCAGAATTGTTTTATGATAGCCTATCTGTCGTTTCTTTTTTTCCCCCTTTAAGTATCCAGAATCGTTAATAGCTTACCTTATGATTTCCATTAATTCCATACTTGGCACTCTTAGACGAAACTCAACGGACACAGAAGGACATGAGCAAATTGACCAACAATCAAAAACAGCACATACTGAACTGGACCCAAGAACGAATTATGTGAACGCCACATTAGACACTGGAAATCCCCTCGATTCAGTAAAGAAAAAAAATCAACACTCAATATCTCTGTGTGTAGGCTATACGTAAACAGCACTGGCATACTTTTTTCTTTTAACAGACCCCGTCATTAATCTAAATTATTCAGGGATCATTTAGCAGGTTCTGGGTGAATGTCAATGAGCAGGGCTTCTTGCAGGATCAGCATGGGTCGAGGAGGGCCACTAGGTGGCGCCCGATGCGGGATTGTAGTGCCGGTGGTCAAGCCAGAACCTCGGACACACTCGACTCGACGAATCTGACGAGCCACAAACCACATCTGTTTTACTATTCGTGTGGAAGCTAGGGGACACTGGGGCTAGTTGTCATAATACTTGTAGGTCCAATTTCTATTGAACGTTTTCAACGTTAGTGACCATGAAAAAGAGATCATAAAACGAATAAGAAACACCATGTTTTTTTTTTTGGTCAACAAATATATAATTACTGTAATAAATTGCAAACATTGTAACACTTTAAATAGTAGGCTACATGTGAAAACTTTCTCCAATAAAAATGTGCCCCGACCTAAAATTGAGAAACTTGTACAGAGTTTTGTATTTTTATGCAGGATCTTGTCTAAATTATGTTTGTTTACCCAACAGCTTTTCACAAAATATGAAACAACAATTTCAGTTTGGATGACAGAATGTACAGCCTACCAAAATTATTCTGATTTTTTAGATCTTCCAAAACAACATACAAAACCACTGCTAAGTGAAAAGACTTGGATTCAAACCCCAGGCTACTGAGAGACGTTGTGACAACTAGCCCCGGCCTTCCCTATAACTGAGCACACACCTGTTATTAACACACGTGATAATAGTCTTCCGAATGTGGTTATAAAAAATGAACATTGAAAGTAATGGTGCTCAATCAGACAATTGTGATTGTGTGTTAGATTGTTGTGGCACTGTGGGTGTATCAGCACATTACTGCAAGGAAATGTGGCAGTAAAACCAGTGAAAATATCTTTAGGGTTCAAATTATAGTAATAAACCCCTAACTATAGTCGATGAGCAACCTTTAATTTCAGTGCGTCATGCACGATATCTAGGTAGACTAAGTGAGTTTCCAAGTGCATAATTGACTTTTTATCCA